AAAAGCTCGTTGTTTATGCCCCTCTATCATCGATACGATTATTGGAGGAGAGGAGGTGCTGGTCCTCTTGTGCTGCATAAAACTGCTGAAGAGCAACGTAAAAAGGTATTTTCAAGTACCCTAGTTGTGCTGTAAACGATACATACCACTTTTTCCGATTCGTTTTAGGATGAAGCTGCAAAGGCCGCTTCAAGTGCAGCTGCAAGAGCCAAGTCTGTATCTGCAAGACCCGACCTGAGCTTTTTGTCACGAAAGTCAAGTGATGCAGCTGCAAGAGCCGAGTCGAGTGTGGACCTAAGTCACTTGTCACGCAAGGAAATTGAGCAGCGGAATCGTTTGGCGGATACCATCTCGATACCAGTAAGTTCATGAATGGATTCTTCACATTGTGTACGTTATGGCATCTGACACTTCTGGTTTGTTCATTAGGCTCAAGATTCTCACCCTCAGATTAGTCAGGTTGATCCACCACCCCACTTTCAATGTATCCTCTGAATGCCACTAATCTTTTGTTCTTTCAACAGCCAGAAAGAAGCACCGATAGCTCAGCACGTGTTGGAGGAATGGACCATAACAGCCATACTAGTACCGATTTATCTGGCCCTGATAGGAATATGATGATAGGACCTGACAGAATACATTCAAATCCAGTAAGTTTGCTGAAACTTGCACAAAACATTGCTCCAAACACATTTTTAGTGCAACACGTTGAATAACTCCATCATGTCTAGGTATTCTCGCGCATTGGCCCTTGACGATGATGGAACTTTTATAACATCTCCTTGTGTTTCAGGCAAACAATTTGGGGCTTGGGCTTTATATCATCGCCTCATCATTATTCGTTGAGTTGATCCAATGTAAATAATTTATTCACAATGTACATCTCACTCGATGCAAAAGCATTCAGGTTGGTGACCATTCCACGCAGTGCTGAAATTCGAGCCCAAATAGAGTGATGTCGAACAGAGCTCATTTGATGCATGTATTGAGACAGCGCATTGAACTCCTTTTTGACCATATTTGAATCCAAAATGTCATAGGTTCAACAAGGGTGTTTTTCAAGTTGAAAATTCACTTTATTTATTAATTGTTTTCACATACCAGAATATTACTACTTCTTCTAATTACAACTAACGGTATAATTGCTACTTCGTGTTACTGACCAAAGTCCATGCTGATCTTTCACAAAGCCCCTAACAAGACTTGGGCCTTTACTTTACCACTCTCCACAGCCCCTGACTAGAGTTATGTTTTATGCCGCAACTTTAACAGGCTGGACCGGAGCCCATCTCTTAAACCTCTTACGATGCCTCTCCCCAAACAAGTAAAGAGCAAATAACGGAATTCCAAACAGCAAGCAAATCCCTGCCAGCATAGCAACAAAGTTGGCTTCTCCCAGAGCCGCGATGGCTGGTACCACTATACTGGCCGCGATACCAGCAAAGATGAACATGAATGCAGTACCTGATTGGAAGGTAATTGATTTCAAAGTTGGGTTTCATTTGATTGATGAAGGAGAACGTTTTCGAAAGGCACTGACCGATGGCAGAGACTCCAGCAGGGGATCGAGGGAATATATCTACACAATATGTGTCTGAGATTGAAGAAAGGGGAATTGGTTCCATTAGTTCTGAGGTTCTTTAAGGATCCGATTCATGAAGCATCAATAGCATACTCAGGCTGTTTTGCACAAACATGACACCAAATCCAATGAAGAATTGTCCTATACATGGTACTGAAGCTCTGCGTTACGGCACAGGTGTCGTTCTCGTACAGTTACTTCAGGAAACGAACATACTAGCAGGGTGAAAGTTGTGATTCAAAGTATATCCATGCAGCAAGAATCCCTACACGAATACAGCAAGTATCAGAGTGGATAGTTTTTGATGACTTGAGACGACTGTGCACATACCATTGGAGCAATCCAGATTCCTTGCACCGCACTACGCAGTCTTGCTTCAGGAACTGGTTTGGAATTCTCACCGACTTTCTTGCGTGCTTGCTCCATTACTTGATCAGTTCGGTATCCTGGATTGGATGAAAAATTTAGCACTCGCTAAAAAGAAGCTCGAGCGCTCGATTCTCTACCTCCAATAATGGACCCAATTATAAAGCCTGCACCAATTGGTAGGTATATTAATCCACTGGCGAGTGTCGAGAAACCATATATACTAGGGGGAGGTAAGAGAACAAAGTTTTACATAGCTTCTAGTATTCATACTCGTCATTCTTCATAATGCTTACACTTGATAGTCACGTCCAAGTTGCGAGGTGACTGCAATCTGGGACCCAAACGTCGATAATCTTACCAATACCGGTACAAGAACTGGTAGATATGCCAGAAATCCGATGGCCTCGAGTAAACTAGGTGTCTTGAGTTTGCCATACTTTCGTTGAATATAACCAAATGCATTGATTTTCGGGCCGGTTTCTGGTTGGTAGTTTGGAGGTACGAGAGTCTCTGGGAGTGCAAAAATCCCCAAGAGGAGAATGCCACCTCCGATTATTGCTTGGAAGACAAATGTTGATCGCCAACCGAAATATTGTGTAAGAGTGCCTCCGATGACTAGTAAGCGAAGAACCGTAAGATATATTGAATAACTTGGGATGACTTCAATCAAATTGACCTGGTCCTAGTATTGGGCCAATTAGTGATCCTAGCGCTATGTATTTGTGTCGTTTTAGCTTGAATTGAGAAATCCTTTTTGAAGTTCCAACGACATACACATATAACCGAATGCTCTTCCACGTTGGGCAGGTTCAAATATATCCGCCACCATTCCACTGGCCAGTCCAACTAGAAAACCAGTAGTATGATGCGTCAATTCAGTACCTCGCCGTCTCAAATTTCAGAAAGTCACAACACAAAACACATACATCCTTGCGCAGCCCCTCCCTGAATCACACGAGTAGCATACAAGTACCCCAGATTAGTAATGAAGATTGAAGCGACTGATGCAGCCGTCCACATGGCCATGGTGAAGACGAATATTGATTTCCGTCCATAGCTTTCCGATAATGGTGACCATAGTAAAGGTGCAACTCCCAGAAAGATGAAGTAGATGGTGATACTGGCGTTTACTTGCTGGTCTGTTATATTAAGATCTGATGTGACTTGTGCGAGTGCTGGGTAGTATATTGCACTGCCTGTATTTTGAACACAACTTTAGATCAACGTCATGACTTAACGAGAGACGGAGCAGATCTCAAGATACATGTCATGAGAAATTCGAGGGTGATAGCTTCCGTAAGTGGTGAAATTCTCGGTAGATCCAAAAAATTACAAAACGTGGGGGATGTCTCGTCACTGCATCCAACAAAGTACATACCAAGGGGAATAGCTAAACCTCCTAATGCAGCCACAGTCACAATTCTCGCCTTGGCAGCAGGGGAGAACCTTGACCATTTCCACTTGTTCAATTCATCCTGGCTCAACTTGCTTGGTTGAACTAGATCTGCGACAGCAATGGCTTTCAGTGGATCCTCATTCTTCTCCGTCATAGCTAATTGCAACTGTTTGAATATGCAGCTCGTTTCTCTTCAAGCGTCCTACGTAGTAGATGTCATGCTTCGACGTCATGCAGCCAAGTGAGCACAAATAATGTTGGAAACACTCAGCCTTTCCACTCGTCTCAGCCTTTGGCGTTTTATTGTCTCAATAGGCCAAGCTTGTTAGCTCCATTATTTAAGCCTTAAAACCGCCTTGACGTGAAGGTTTCCAGCTGTGCAACCACTTGATCAGAACCTCACAAAAATCGAGGTGTTTGGATTTTCGGTTGGAAGGACTCGACGAATGAGGCGCATGTGCGGGCTGACGATACAAATAGGTTTTTTGGATACAAAATGAAACTTTCTCTTAGTGCTCGTGCCGTAATTTGATTCTGCTCCTGTCATCAATTGAGTTTGCGTTTCGCTCCAACAATTCGAAACACATAATTTGATTCAGTTGACAAGTAGATTCACATTGGAAGCGTGTTTATATCATTACAATGTTGCCATTTTGCGAGAGTCATTATAAGGATCAAGGCTTGGAAAAGCAGAGGCCAAGAGCGATACCTCTTTAAAGTGTAACCACAGCGCATTAGCCTTTGGACGGGTGATCTTGGGAAAAAATGTTCATGCACCGCAGCTCTCGTGTGTCTGATGTTCCGTTTGCTACTCAGGATCACAATGTCGGGATTTCTACCAAGACACCCAACAAAGTCATCATAGCCACAATCCTTGTCATCGGTTTGGAAATACAGTAGTCAGCATCTCAAGCCTTTTCTTGAATATACATCAAAAAACGACGCCACAATCCGTCGAATAAAAGCAGAATTAAAGGCTTACATTGCATAAAGCTCTGATGGCCGTAATGAGATCGGTCATAGCTATATAGCACTGAGATGGAACTACTCAAATAGCTGCGCTGTAGCTTTTCCAGTTAGAGATCTGTTTGTTTGGTGAGAGAAACGGAAATGGGACGTTCATCACGCCTTTACCAAAACCAAGCCTCTACCAATCAGACGCTGTGAAGCAGGGATGAAAACATGGATGTGTGTAAGGAACTCGATTCAGTAATGAATTATGATCTCGCATGCCAAGGAATAGTCACTTGTCTCCCAAGCTGGCGCTGTGCAAGTACCGCCTGCGTTTTGACGATTCAACAACACCAACAATCTTCAGTGCAAGAAGGTTCGGGACCTTTTGTGGCAGCATTTAACATCCATCCCAAAGGATTCAACTTGTTGCAATTCGCTATGATTTTTAGCGCCTACAGCGTCAAAACATACTCTGAAAGTGGGGTAGATTCGAGTCTATCACACGCTAAAGTTTCGTATTGGAAATTGCTTTTTGCGTATAGATTCAGTGGCCGCTTCTCATAAGGTGTGACTCGCTGTTTAAAAACTTTTCATTGGAAATCTCAAGATCTTGGTTGCGAAACTATACTATATTCGAATACGCATATGCTTTTATAATCTCCAGACACAACGCCTCCAACTCTCCCTTTGATATTCTTTTCAAGCCAAAATCCTCCCATGCTGAATAATCTTTTTCAAATCCCCAAACTTGACATGCTGTTCCACAATCAACGGCTTTGTGACACTAACACTAGACACCATCTTAACCAACAACGTATTCCCCGATTTTTCAGTACTCCACCCTTTCTCCTTTATAAAGTCACGCACATCTTCTCCTTCTTCCAACCCCAGATATTTCACCAGCGAATCCATCTGCACTGCCTGGTACGCAATACTCAGCGTCAATGCTACAAAATCACGTACATCTACATCGAAATCACGACATGGTTCAAGCACGTCACGTAATGTGGGGAGCTTTTCAGTGGATTCGACCAGTTTCCAGAATTCTTCAAAGCGACATGATTCGAGGAGTTGTTGGAGGGCGATTAGACGTTCTATAGTTTCTTCCGTCATTACTTCTTCGGTAAGGAGGGCGAGATATAGGTTAAAGTCTGGGTCTGGGAGGGCTGTGAGGGCTTTTATAAGGATGTTTATGGTGGTGTCAAGTTGGTGGATTGAGTGGTTGGGGTTGAATTGGTATAGTTTTAGCATTGATAGGTTGGCGTCTCGGTCGTAGAAGCTCTTTTCGAGCTGTTGTCGGACATATTCTTCTAGTTTGGGAATGTTTTCTGGATTGTATCTAAGTTTGGTTTTGGAAGGTTAAATGTGAGCCGAGCGAGACAGAATATTCAATATCATTTCCCATGATTTCAATGCATCGTCTCCATCCTCCGTACTGGACAAGCTTCCGACCCAAAGCTCGTCACGTCCCAATTTTCGAGTTTTGATATTGGCAAAAAAAGACACATCAAACACGATGCTCAGCGTTATGACCAACAAGCAAGGCCATCAGCAGTACCAATTCAACAACATGAAAAGGATGGAAAATTTGAAAGTAAAACCAGCTTGCCTTACCGATCGACGGTTTCTACTACACTGTGGACGTCTGCTGGGCGATGTTCTGGTCGAGGTGGTAAGCCAAGCGTATCAGTGGCATGCGTGATTGCTCCAGTGTTGACCTGAGCTCCTCCTTTACCGTTCATGGCTGTAGATGTGATTATTCGTGTTTTTGTTGAAAGTTGAGCAACAAATGCAGACGAAAATGATGAACATCACGACCAACACGCTTGTTTGCAACGTGCACGCATATATGTGGGATCCCCTAACGTTTCGGCATGTTGGGATCGCGAAATACTACAGGTTTCAATCAATTAACAAACACAAAAGCATTCCTAAACTTTTCACAGTCCTGCCTCTCGTTACGGGGTATAATCACTAATGATATTGCAAATTCCGGAAGACTTCTTCACAATGTATTGTATTTACACTTTAAAACACGACTTCAGTCAACAGTCAGGAATGCAGATCCACCTTGAGACAGATAAAATTAGACGCAGCGACAGGACTAATGAAATGAATTCACGTACCTCCAAATCCATATCCCTTTGGCCCAAACTTCTTTCCATGACATGCTTTGCAATACAGCACGTTGTCTTTTGAAGCAGATAGTGTCGAGTCGAGTCTCTTCCCACAGTCGGTACATTTGAAACACGACTTGTGGTACTTGATACCACCTGGCCCCAGTTGTTGCTATTGAAGAAACGAGAAAGAGTCAGCATTCTGAGAAGGATGATATGGCATGGTCTCTGACGAAGTCAAACAAGCGATCTGGTGTGCTCCAAGCCAAGGCGACACGGACTGACCTCTGCAAAGTAGACTTGTTTTGAGCAGTTCGGGCACACATCACTTCCAACAAACTTCTTCAGCGCTTCAGCTTCAGGTGCACTCGGTGTGGTTGTTGAGGTACGAGGGGATGGTGATGCAGCCTGGAGTCCTGACTCAGATCTAGGTATACTGGTGATTGTTGAATCTGTGGAGAGTGTGCCTGCTCCACCTCCGTATCCATAGCTATGACGTGTAGAGAGAACGCGTCAACTCAACAGGTTTGAGATAATCCTTGCGAAAACACACCCTTTTGGACCATATAATTTGCCATAACAGGTCTTGCAGTATGCTTCTCCATCTTTTTCAGTCAAGTTCATAGAGTCGAGACGCTTGTTGCATTCCTGGTGTCACAGTGTTAGCCAAATTCGTTGACCTGCGAGAGAGATTGTGGCAATCCTTACTTTACACGTCATGCACGCCTTATGCCAGCTACCCCCACTAGGACCATTAACCTATATGAGGAAGAATCATTGTAAATTGACCTGGTGGGCCACAAATCAAGATCAAAGAAATGATGAATGTTGTCAGCGGCAATCGAGGTGAACGTACCGATTCGTTGGCATAGACGGTCTTTGAGCAACGTGGACATATGGCACCGCCTCCGAATTTGCTCATGGCTTCCGTCAAGTATTGGTTGGTGGTGCTGCTGGACTGCAGACAAAGTTGTGATGGGTTTGCAAAGAATAACGGCCAATTGTTGAAATTGCACAGTCTTTCAGTAGTAGTAGCAATGAGGGCCACGCGCGTGTCAAGGCTACTATTGCTACTGGTTGGAAGGTTGAAACTATCAAGAAGTCATCCACATCAAACGTTGAAGCCTGCTTTGCCAACAACATCAACCGTTGAACAACAAGATTGTAAGCACTAGTCTTGAGTTGCTTTTGGCGATGAATTCTCTATTTTACAGTACATATTAACGATTTTATCCTTCTATTAGACTAGTTCGACTCCACAATTAGCAGTTCAATCGCCAACGTGTTACTCCTTCCGCGTCTCCTTTGAGGTTTGTGGTTGGAGAAAAGAGCCATCTTGAAGCTTCACTAAAGCTTGTTATTGTTACAAGAGACTGACACAAGGTTTGGATTGAATAAGTGGATGTGGTTTTATTCAATAGAGCAACACGTGAAGACAGCAATTGTTGCTTGTTTGGACGTGATTCCAACGAGAACTAGCGAGATCTAGCGAGATGATGACATGAGCAACTTCGTCCGTTGTATATTGGACAGTCACCCTTCCGTCGGGTACGAATCCTCATGGGATTCGTTTTGTGCCACCTGTTTTGTTTTTTGAAGTACTTTTCCATTACATGTCCGAATAGCGAGTAGGGAGACATTCCACATGAACACACCACTCATATAGGCTGAATCCAGCCTTACATACCGGTAACCTGTTTATTGCAAGTTCAGCGTGAAACATCATGTGAAATGACAGGCTTCAACCAATGTCTAAAAAACAGGACTATGGCAACAGGAGGAGGAGGCGAAGCTCCACTCCCTAATGGACTTAATGGAGCCCTGCAACAATCCAATAGTGCCGGTCGACGGGCCTCGTTCGACGAAGGGTACTTCAATCAACATGGAAAAACACCGTCAAATGCTGCTGTCGCTAGAAATCAACGCCCTGCAGTTTCATCCACGAGACCGGTCACCACATTCGTAGACCACGATGTCAGCTCCTACACACATCCACCGCTCTCTCGAGAAATGTCACTGCCTGATATAAACTTTAGCAACGGAAATCAGCCTATACGGAAAAAGCAATCGGGCTTGAAGGGCTTTTTCAAGTCCGCATTCTCTTCTTCCAGTTCGACTAGTTCTTCTTCAGCATCTTCAATTTATAATGGGTCTGCCTCGGCTGCAACAAGTAGTGGCATACATCATCACCATCCACCACCTGCTGCTGGTGGTAGGAGGCCCAGTCATCCACCTAGTAATCCCTTCAGCAGTAACGGAAATCCATACTATCTGGAACCGTATAGTGAATATGATGGTGGTGCTCCTATGCAACGGGTCTCTAGTAAGGCATCGCTCGAAGGAGGCAAATCGAGAAAGAGTTCTGGAAATTTGGGAAAGTGGTGGAGTAATAGGAGTCATGATACGAGTGAAGGTACGTATACAGTCATTTCGTGTTCATACCTTGCATGTTGTCATTAACGAGCGCAATAATGACTCACACGACACGTTACAGATTCGCTCAGTACTCGTAGTCCATCATATACCAACCTGGCTCGTCTAAATGGTTCAAATCCATCACCTCTATTACTCTCCGATATACATATTGACGATTCCGTATCCGTAATGGCTCCGTTAACATCAGGTTCCGCTTGGGTCGCTCCAGACTCTTGGAATATTCAACCCGACTCACCAAGCGACGCACATCCAGCAGCACTCGACCCAATACCCCCACACGCACTGAAATCAACCGCAGATGTACTACTATGGACTGACGAAATGTATGAAGCAAATGGAATCAAACCTGCCGAAGAGGGCACCATACGTGTATTCTATCCATCTGGATACTTTTCGACAATCACTTGTCGAATGACTACAACCACCAAAGAATTGCTTTTAGCTGCGTCCAAGAAACAGCTCATTACAGATTGGACGAAATATAATCTGGTGGTTTGTCGGAATGGGCTGGAACGTAATTTGGATATGACAGATTCGCCGCTTTTGATGGTTTGGAGGTGGCTGCAGCAAGTTGGATACTCGGTTGCTACGAAACCTGATCCTTTGGAGTGGGCTAATCATACGTATTTGTGCTCCTTTCATTTCAAGGAGACCATATTATCTTATGTAAGCCTTCCTGACACTTGTTCTGTTGTTCAAGAGACCGAAAGAGTTTCTACTCGATGGAAGTTGCTCCTTGAGTCCATATTTCGGATGCCTCTTCATATGCTCAAAATATAGTGGGCTTCACTGACTGACGTACTGTTATCATAGGACTCGTCACAACGATTTGCTAGCATGGTTGATGTATCACTAGCAGGCTCCAACATTGTAGCTATACCCGTATTCCTCTTCAGACAAGCAGATCAGGTTGAACGACTAGACCTCTCTGAAAATCTAAATATCAAGGAAATACCACTCGACCTATCCCAATCCATGACCTCACTGTTATCGCTCTCACTAGCCGGTAACGAAATATATCAAGTCCCGAAATCATTGCATGCTCTAACCTCACTCGCTATACTGGATTTATCACGAAATCGAATCCAATCATTGCACTCATCTGGCCTGGAAAACCTAGTAAATTTAATCCAACTCGATCTAGCTAGTAACCTAATTGAAGTATTTCCAGCAGAGATTGCTCAGAATCTGAAAAGGATTCAAGTGTTAAATCTAAGTAACAATCGAATAATCAACTTCCCCACTGACTTGTGTCGATATGTCGGTGAGTCGTTACAAAGACTGGATATGAGCTTTAATGCTATGAGAGCTACTATACCTGAAGTTATTGGAGAGTTAAAAGCATTGAAATATTTGAGGCTGCATGGCAATGCATTTTATGGTGGTCTGCCCCGTCGATTCACGGAACTCAAAGAGTTGGTGGAAGTCGATTTACGCGGTAATCAATTGGGAGAGCTAAAAGGTGAAGAAATAATGGTCATGGATGTCCTAGCCGAACTACCTAAACTTAATATCATAAAAATGGACGGTAATCGGATACGGCAAGCTGGAAAATGGGCTAGTTTATCGCATAGACATCATGGGCCGGCAGCACAAGATGTAGATGATATATTTCCAGAGCAGTGGCAAATGGATCATGAGGTTGGAACGCCGATTGATGAAGCTGATGATGACGACCCAAGGGTATTGCTTGAAATCCAGAATGCTACATACCTGTCACTTGCATACCAAGCTGACTTGTACTCTGCACGGCCATTGATCTTTCGTATAATCAATTCATCTGGTAGTTTGACTCATCTGAACATCTCGTATTGTGGTATCGAGACACTTCCACATACCATATTTGAAAGGCTGCAGGGTCTCACGTATCTAGATGTCAGTGGTAATGCATTGCGTAAACTGCCGCCGCTGTCTGGTACAGCTGGCGATGGACTTTTCAAACTACAGGAATTACATGCAGGTAATAATAACCTGATGGAAATCCCTGACGATGTAGGTGAATTGGAAGAATTGGCGATACTCGATGTACAGGCAAACCAGCTTGTCGAACTACCTCCAGATATATGGAGGTGTAAATCGTTACGAGTGTTAAACTGTACAGACAACTTTTTGGAACGATTCCCTCCCGTGCCTGATGATACCATAGCTACACGATACCGATTAAGTAGTCGTCGCCTGTCAGACGAGGTGCCGCAACTACCACCACTAAGCAGATCTCTCGAATCACTATATGTAGCTGGTAACCGACTAGGCGACGATATCTACCAATCCCTATACCTCTTGCCATGCCTCACCATCCTCTCCATGGCTGATAACCTAATCACGGATCTCGCCCCATGGTTTATATCTGATCCACACCCCGGTCTTAAGTTATCATGGTTTGGACGACTACGAGAGTTGTATCTCTCTGGTAATAACATCTCTGCCATACCACCCGAAGTTGGAAATATGATTCATCTTCGATGGCTGTTTTTGAATGGAAACCGTCTGCCTACTGTTGCACATGAATTATCTAAAATATCTAATTTGGCGGCATTGGATTTGGGCACGCAGCTGGGATCGCGTGGGGAAGGGAATGCGTTGAGGTATAATGTGAATAATGTGGTGAGTAATTTGTCATAATAGGTCAAGTTTTTTTTTCACATTTTTTTAACTCCAATATTTCAATTTTAGCCTTATGAATGGAACTGGTAACTTGTTTGGAGTTGTTTAATGAAGTGTGTTCAATTACCACAGGATGATAACTGTTTTTTTTTTGCCAGGAACCTGAATCGAGAATTACGATATTTAAACTTTTCAGGGAACAAGCGCTTAGAAATCAAGGCCTCCTCGGCCCCAGTATATCCTACAATCAGTCCGCTACCATCACGAGGGCTCATGGCACGCTCAGGCAGTAGCACATCACTCCTCCATCTATCACTATCCCTACAATCTCAGCAGCAGCAGCATGCAACACCACCCAGCACACCAAATATCTCGGATTTAGCTGACTTCTCCCAGTTGAAACATATTCGAGTATTAGGATTGATGGATGTTAATTGTACAATCAACGTGCTAGAAGAAACTGAAGAGCGTCGTGTCAGAACGACATCGTCAGATTTAGCACTGGCTGGTTTACCTGGTGGTGTCATACGATATGGTGTAGCTGATGTATTGAGTAGACCAGCTGAAGACAGGAATTCGAATATGGTTCCAGTATTGGAAGACTCTGGATTCTTTAGTACTTGGGATTTAGTGGTTCCACAATTCCGAGGCCGTGAACATGAAGCATTGTTTGGATTATTTGATGGACGTGGGACACGAGGTGGTGCAAAACTGGGACGACGGTTGTTTGAAAACTTCCCCAAAGTCTTTCAAATGGAGTTGAATCGGGTTGAGAATGATATCAAAAAGTTCAACAACAGTCGTGGTGATTATGGGTTGCCTATAGTCCTAGAACAATCGGCTATTGAGATTGCCATTCGGAAAACATTCTTGACTGTGAACAAGATGATGGCCAATACTTATTTTAATGCTACTACAAAAGGGCATCCGATGGCGCGTAAAGGATCGTCTAGTAGTATTGATGAAGAGGCGGCAAATTCTCTTGAAAACGATCCATACCGTAAATTACGTAAACGTAGTGATGGTCAGATTATCCCCGCAACTGAGATATATGGATGCTCTGGCGTCATTGCGTATCTATACTCGACGCCGATACCGGGAAGCCACGAACGCACCAAAACTCAGTTGTATATAGCCAATGTAGGAGATTGTGTGGCTGTCTTGTCTAAAACAGGTGGTCAAGCTAATGTCTTGTCACGGCATCATGGCACCAATGTGGATACATTAGGTAGACCTCCTGGTGCTTTCTTGCGTGTGAAATCACATCAAACCACCAGTGTACAATCATCCATGCCTGGATCTCCGATAAGTCCATCTGCTGTACCCGATGTTGGAGATGTGCCCGTATCGTCTTCCGTAGTGCTGAAGTATCTGCCCATGGTTGATGATCCGTCCCCGCAACGGTCGTTTAATCGACAAGACCTGTTTTGGCGGCTTGCTGAACTACAGCGGGTGCATGAATCGGGAGGATGGTTGTCTTCATCGTCCTTGATTAATGGACTGCTGGATATGAGTCGGGCCTTTGGATATTACGAGTTTTTAGGTCCTATAACAGCGGATCCGGCCATTCGAATGGTGGAATTGGATGTTGGTGACGATGATATGGATAAAGCATCAGTCATGTCTGGCGGGTCTACAGATCTAGGACCAGGCACAGATGAATTTGTAGTACTGACGTCTGGCGCAGTGTGGAGAGCCATGAGATGTGCAGGTACATATGAAGATGGAGCACAAAAGATTGTGGAAGTTGCGAGATCAACTTTTGGTGGCTTACCTGATGCTTCTGGATCTGTGCTACCTGGCATGATTCCTGTAACAAGTCATCGCTTGGGAGGAATGTATTTGAAACCCATGACTGGTGATTTACGAAGACCTAGTAATGTCATTAATCCTCCGTATCATGCACCATCCATTAATTATCCTGCTGTTGGTGGTACCGCGATGGGATCCACGAGCTGGAGTACTGCCGCGTCTAAAGTCCGTGATTATGCATTGTCGTTAGGTGGTACGCATGGGCCTGATGAACATGGTGGTGGATATCTAGTCATGATTTTAGGATTGCAGGATTTGGCTCGTCGAGCAGCATGGTATAATGCAGTAGGACCACGTAGACGTAGCTCCGCTAGTGGAGAATCTACAATATTAGAAGCCAGACGTGGATCAGCAGTCAAGAAAGACATTGAACCGCCATTTGGACGCCTCGCCCTCGTATTCACTGATATAAAATCATCTACCGAGTTATGGGAACGTCAACCCAAAGTCATGCAACGTGCCATCCGAATCCATAATGCTATCATGAGAGACGCGCTTCGACGGACTGGTGGATATGAAGTCAAGACTGAGGGTGATGCGTTTATGGTCGCCTTCCAGTCCATGCTGCCCGCACTAGAGTTTTGTTTGACGGTGCAGACTCAGCTTGTCAGAGCTGATTGGCCGGCTGAGATTTTGTCTGCACAGGATGGACAAGTTGTATGGCATGATGATGTTGATACGTCGTCTTCGTCGTCGTCACCAGCGAATAGTAATAGTAGCTCTGCAACAGCAACATTTGATGAACACACTCGACTCGTCCTCCGAGGTCTCTCTGTCCGAATGGGAATCCATTTCGGAACACCGCTGGGTGAAGCCGACCCCATAACAGGCCGCATGGATTATTTCGGACCTATGGTAAACAGGGCCGCCCGAATCGCTGCACGAGCACAGGGAGGACAAATCCTCATGTCGTTTGACGCTATGCGGGAATTCAAGAGACGGTTTTCACGTGCTGGTGGTAGTATTGAAAAGGCGATACGAGATGGTGAAGATTTCACTGATCGCGTACGACCTGCTGATGCTGATGTGCTTGTCGTGCCGCCTGGTCGTGAACGGGATGATGAGATTGCGAGGATTAAGAAGCAGGGGATGAATGTGTGGAATATTGGGGAGGTGCAGTTGAAGGGGCTGGAGACGCCTGAGCTGTTGCATGCGGTATGCGGTTTGTATATGGATTTTTTTGCTCTGAAAACAGATAAATAACGTTTTTTGCGATTAGATATATCCAAGAGACTTGGCGATACGACACAGTTATATATTGCTGCTTATTGGACATCGGTATAAGGAGATTGAGAAGGTGAGTTGCTTGTTTCGTGGACTGTTATGGAGAGATTGGTCGTGATGCTCTGCGATGATACCTTGAGTTTAAATACTTTGCCGATTTAACATATGATGGAGACAAATTCATCGTGTCAGGATTCTGAGAGCACGTTTGTAAAAAGCGAAATCCATAATGATAGTTTGCCCTTTTTGCACTCCATTTCTAACTTGACCTTGTGTTTTTCACAGCATACCTTACACCTGCAACCATTGGATCCAAACGAAGTCAAACAGTTTGGAAACGTGCTTTTACGACTTGAAGATGTACAGTCTGGTGGCACTGGTACATACAATGCAGACGCCAAGAATGCATGGAAGTATGAATGGAAGTTGGACAAGTCTGTTGAGTCTGATCGTGATTCGCTTGTGGATACGTTGCTGGAGATTGTTGAGAGGCTTGAAGTGAGTTGTGTTTATGTTGGAGAGCTATCTGCTTATCTGACGATGTACACTTGTTGACGCCCCATTTTTTGGGTAGATGACTGTGGAAGCTTTGGGCAAGAAATGCTGATGCTCTTGGAAATTTTACTTCAACTTATTTGGTGGGAGACGGAGGAAAGTCCTCCCAACACATACACAAAAAACATTATAATAGTTAGTTACTGGACATTTTTGGGGCCAAAAGGGACATATATCCCCTTTTTCTTGTATAATTGCTGTACGTTTTTTTCTCTACCTCTAACATTTTATTTGTGTTTTGGCATGCTATGTTGGTGTGTGGGTGCGGGTTGTTGCACGTGTTGAAGTAATGGTAGCATTGGTAGCACTGATGTAAATGTATTTTTGCGCACGTTCTTTGGGTTTTCTTGGAAGGCGATCAGCTATAGATCCATAGTGGAATAGTGGACTCAACAATTCGAGTATTCGACGTGAGTAGCTATAAAACACGCCGTGTGCCCAATGCAAACTCAAATCCTTAACCGTGAATCACTCAAAACATCAAAAAGCATTACTACAAGATGAGCATCAATCTCGCTACAGGCGAGAACGTACAGCGAGAAATACGAGAGATCTCTACTCCTGAAGAGTTAGCCGCGTTCGTTGAAGTGCAAGTCTTGGCTTACGCTGGAAGGAATGATGCTGCTCCTGAAGCAAAACAAAAGGTAAGGCTTCAAGCTTTGAATTTGTCACTTTATTTGGCACTCGCATGCCTATGATTGGCCTTGCGTTGTATCTTGATCTTGTTTCGTGGAGCTTTGAGCGACATCGTAACCAAACACTCATTTCCCATAGGCATTCAACCGCATGACATCTCGCTCTAAAGATCCACGTACTCGTATCTTTGGGATCTTTCAAAAGGGGGTTGAGGACACGTATACGGACAATGACAGTTATTCGACAATTGTTGATGAAGAGACCAAGAAGGTTATCATGAGGACACCTAATTTAGTCGGGCATTACGTGGTTCATCATTTCGAGTTTAATTTGAGGGGTGTCAAGGCTACACTGAGTGGGTTGGGGACTGTTGGTGTGGTATGTAGTGACCTTGGCTGACTTTTTTTGGGTGGGGTTTGTCAGTCAGTGACTGGCAGGTTCATCGTTACATAATAGAATGTCTACTTCTTTATTAACGCTCGCATGTTGATAGGATTTCTCACACAAGAAAGGTGGAATGGCCAAACAACTCATCCAAACGTATTTGGAAGATGCTAGATCTCAGGGTCTTAACATTAGTGCCTTGCATCCATTCAGACCAGACTTCTATGTTCCTTTCGGATGGAATGCTTCAAATCCGTATTATGAGATCAAGGTACCTCCATCTGCCTTCCCCAAGTCTGGGAAGCGGGAGGTCAAGAGTGCGGTGGGACTCGTCAAAGACACTGAAAAGAACCAGAAAATGCTGCTGGATGTGTATAATTTGTTTGCAGAGTCCAGGCATGGGATGTAAGTTGAGGACTGCAATTGTTGCATTAGATAATCCTCACCTTTGGCTCTTTTGTCGCATCTCACACCCTCATTTTCCTGATGCAGGTTCCAAAAAACGCAAATGGACTGCCCCAATTTCTTCCTCCCTTCTGGATCCATCCAGACTCAAATAGTCGCCTACTTCAACTCGTCTGGTGCATGTCGAGGGTACTTTAAGATGAATTTCGCGTTGGATCAGTTTTTTAGATATGATGTTGTTATTCGGGATTTCGTATATTTGGACGCTGATGCGATGTATGGTTTAATGGGGTATATAAACAGTCAGGCTGATCAGGTTCGCCATGTCATCATGTACGTGATATTCTGAAATTGAAACAGACATTTTTTGCCTGACCCAACTTCTAACTTGTTTGCTGGGATCTTCTTTAGGTATACGCAAGAAATCTATCTCATTCGACTGTTGAGTGAAGTACGAGACCATGATTTCAATCCTTGCATATATGATTTGTATCATCCGGTCGCGACGCTGGCTACTGGACTCGCCTACCGCATCGTGGATGTCAGGAGACTGTTTGAGAAGGATTTGTCGCGGGTCACGTTTAATCCTGATTACGATATCACGTAAGTGTCGTGAACCGAAAAAACTACTGCCAACACTCATCAATTCTAACCATCAATCCTGTTAGCATGCATCTCATCGTATCAGACCCCTTCCTAAAACACAACAACACGCCGCTCCTGATCCAATTCAAGAACGGTGCTTGTTCTGTTCTCTCTGAGGCCAGACCGGACGTCGCGATAGAGATGAATATCCGTGATCTAGTTGGACTGATTATGGGAACATCGAAGCTGTCGACGTTGAATCGAATGGGAGTGGTGAAAGTCGCTCCAGAAGAAAGGATTCGCGTATGTGATGCCATATTCAGTACGGAGGATCTGCCAATGTCTATGACGCTCTTTTAGAAACTGTGACTAGAATCAAGACGACGATAGTTTTTGGGCTTTTAAATTTGAATCTCTAATATAAACATCCATTCAAGTAAAGACAATGTCTAGTATTTTATCGCCCAATCACGTTCGGTCATCATGGAACGGCAAACTTGTCAAACGGACTGGGTACGGCATTCAGTTCTCCACGGCTTTTTACCACTGGGTCAGCAATGTGATTTATGCCCTTCCAAGTCAATTCGCTAACCATCTTGAACCCCTCTTGGAATGCTCTTACACTTCATGAGTTCCTATGGAAACAGGATGGATCTTGTTACGGGCCCTCGCTTGGTTGTGTATCAGATCTCACGCTGACGCACTGTGGATGTGGGCAACTCGGTTGTCTAGTCGACCTTACTAGTTTTGAATCAAAGTCATTGTGGCATTCGACGACATGGCTTGTTGTTCCTATGAAGGCAGCAAACCATACAAGATGGAGAATTATTAGCTATTTTCTCACCATTCCTTGCATCGCAAGATGTCAGTGACGCAGAAAGTTGGGTTTTGGCAAGCACATTCCAGTATATTCACGGCATTTGCTTGGGTTTCCAGGTAACTAACAGTAGTGTCGTTTGTTTCTAATATTTCGTTGTCGCAAGCAAAGTGAAGTCCAGTCATTTGACCTTGTTTGAAGAGAAATCCTCAAACATTGAAAAGTGTTTGGTCTGTGCATGTGATTGCAGTGATTTTGGCAAGCTATATCATAAGTTGGATTGGTCCCCTCATCGCCATACTGCCTGTAGATACAGCTTCATGGCATCTAGTATCGTGAGAAAGTGCTTTGACGTTCGAGTCAATGCACAATTGTAAGAATTCTGATATTTTTGAATTTTTTTGGAAGGAAAAACATAAAGCTACCTCCGTTTTGTGACATGCAATAAAGGATATCGTTCCGGCCATCATTAGTTGTATTCTTATTGCTTCATCTATTGTGGCTGCCACTGCCACTGCCACCTGAACCAATGCAACTGTAACCAGCACATGTGGTGCAACTTGTTTTCATACGCATGTAGTCTCCATGAGATTAAGTCTATTGCGATCATGGCCTCTAGCTTCCCAGCGCATGCTCGGCCAGAATTGGAGTCGAAAATCATTGCAACTCAACTCGACTGGTCGAATTCAATTCCTAAACAGCATTTCTAACCAGATCAGCAGAGGATTCTTCGTCCGGAAGTCCTAGAGTCTTGATTTGGCAGTCATGGCGATCTTCTTCGATAGCCAAAGTACGACTTTCCGTCCAATGTTGATATGGTTAAACAAGAGCATCATTGTACATGTTTCCACTAGTTGGCCGATATTCCAATAGTAAAGCAATGAGTAATCACACCTTAAAAACACGTCTTTTACCCCTTTTTCGGTGAGCGTTTTGATTAAATCTCGCCAGATATGCACTTCACTTCCAAACATCCAATCCAACAAGAACTCACTAGAGGATTGGGGAGAAGGCCTGTAGGAGCAAGGTCCAGACATGCACACCACTACAGGTATGTATACAGGGCATTTCCTAGTGATTCCAGCGTGCTTTGAGACTGCTAATCGGACTTGCCGGCAATCGCTCACATGTTTGTTTTCGTCAATTCCAGGCCATTGCTACAAGGACTCAGGACTCAAGAACGCTACCAGCTATGGATGCGAACCGTACCATTCAGTGACCATCCACACCTATGCATGCCGTATCTTTTCCAGCAAGATAATGGCAGCAAGTGTGGTTGCTCCTACGCCTACGGAGCGTAAAAACTGAATGGGTCTATGACTCCCCACCGTCAGCAGAAGGCGTCTGCAAATAGTGGCCATTCGCACGAGATGATATTTGTATATGGTGCCTTAAACACTCCTCCACCTCGCGAGTCAGTATACTGTGTGCGGTAAGCCCTCCGCCAGTGATATCGACCTTGGCCTCTCTCACTTCTGGTGAGATTGGTCACAGCAAAAAGCGAGGGGGCGTCAAGGGATCGAGTGGATCCACGTTTACGTGGTTGGGTCTTGGTACTGATGGTAGCCAAGACCACAAAAAAAAAACAAGTACCTCACCTCAGGCAACTATATTGGAGTTCTTTTATATCGCAACGCTGTCTTTCGCATATAGGCAATGCAGCCCATGCCGGTCCCAAGCCCGGAAAATGCAGAGGGCCTATGATACTAACAACTCTTTGTACCTTGAACAGTAGATTGTACGTGAATAGTAGATTGTACAGAACAGTAGAAAATGTAATTGTTTTAAATATGAAGGCTGATTGAACTCTACATGATGGTGCTCACCTCTGGAAAATTTGTGTTGCTGGCAGAAGGAGTTCGACAATTTGAAAACTGTGGACCAAGAACAACACAATCGGTCTGTCACTTCCATACACGATTTCACGGAAAAGCGAGAAACACATAGTGTAAAACAACGGGAGAATCTGAGGAAAGTACGCTGGGCCTCTAAATAAATCTCTATATAAACATCACTGAATATGAAGACATTGGTCTCGTCTATTATCTTCCAATCACATTCATGGTGGCCTCGAATGCCAAGAATGTAGCGGCATTGACAGGGAACGCCTGTCAAAGGAGATAAATGTTTTAGAAAGTTCACTGTCAGCTCTGTAAACAAATACGTCAGCTCAGATGTATAATCACTTACCCTCAACATGCACACCCAGAACCCACGGTACAGTCCAGCCATACCCTCGGCCTTGACAGTGGTACTGAAACAATGTATAGCAGACTTGTATTGTCGCTTTGCGGGGTCGAGCGCATCAGTTTGTAATTTGGATTTCACGACATCGATCGGATATATTGAAAACCACATGGCCATTCCTGAGAAGCCGCCGTATATTACTTGCAGGTAGGCGGGTACGTCTGTTGTGTAGAGGAGTGAGGCGATGATTAGTTGATACGTGCAAATCCAGAGCTTTTCGTGTTTAGTTTTTGTCGTCCAATTTCTTTCTTCTTAGGCAAATATGGACATCACACATACCTGATCGTTTCCTGATATTATTCTTTTCCATGGCTCGTTGTATCAAATACTCGTACCTGGTGAAAACGCGAAGAATATGTTTGTTCGAAAACTACTGGTGCGCTTTACGATCAAGCAAAAATGGCCTGGAGAATGCAGCATATATAGTCTCACTCCATTCAGACACTCACGTCAAGAAGTAGGCACCATAACCAATAAATTCACGACCCATAGTGATTGCTTGACCTTTATATATACCAGCAATTCCGAATTGTTTCATTGTCTTTTTGGCGAAATCAACTGGTCCTGAGAATTCTTTTGTGGTTCCTGATTGCACTTGTAATCTCGTCCTAATGTGAGAGAGATGGTTTTCAGTCACGTAACTGGATTAAGTATGATTGTAGTTGCGATTTATCTTTTGTCTGTTCGCTAATAATTGTGGAATTCGTGACGCATTCTTGCTTCGAATGCAAATGTACCTGACGTGTTCAATAGGACCACTCAGTATCGAGTTTGCAGTTCCAGAGACGGCACCAGCCAAGAATAACTGTGACAATGATAATGAAGCAGGGTTTGCTTGTCCAGCCTTTGTGTTTGACTCTGTAAAGGATCGTTTCACGTATTCCAGAGCACCGAATTGGATTGATACACAAGCACCGATACCGATGAGTGGTGTTAGTGTGCCCTGAGAATTAACGTTGTCAGTGACGCGAATGAATCGAAGATAAGCTACACTTCTTTTTGTGGCAACCCAAAACACGCGATAAACAAGGTGACTTGAAGTACCTTGTAGAAGCCACGAAACCCATCAGCCTTGTATGTCTTTGACACACAATCCATCATTGATGAATAGACGGGGTTTTGCAATGATTGGGTTTGGAGTCTGACTTTGACAGTATCAAATGGCTACAGAATTTTGCACAAAGAAGAGGTTGGAAATCACGTTCAGAGTATCAAAATGAGACGTGATGAAGCAAGATGCACACCTGGCCGACGAGGACCTATGAAGTTTGCTGATGTGAGAAAAAAAGGTGTGATAGACCAATAGACCTGTCAGATGCCACTTGCCTGTACAATGCCGCCAACAGCCCCGGCGAACAAGTCCTTCACAGCGCTTGGATTATCGCCCATCTTTGGATTGCTCTTTGGTGCTATCTGTCAAAGTGAACGTCGTTTGTTTTTGAAGTTTTGATTAAGTGACGGAGTTGGAAAATGCAAGTTGGTGCAGATAGATCCAGTAGCAGAGACACCTGGATCTGAATTTTCATAATATTATCAAACTATGTAACGCATTGAAACGCGTATATCATCTCTCGTAGTCTCTTCGATCTGAGGCACTGAATTTGCCTGAATCTTGTAACCTGCGGAAACGGTAATCGACGCAGAGGAGGACCCCTGTATCAGCATAAAGAAGGATGGACGCTATACTAGCCATGCCGAGAAGTGCCAAAGCTCTTTTAATCGTACTTGGCCTTGGCGGCGTTTATGTTGCAGAACGTCGCGTACGAGCATATAATCGAGGTGCGTGTATGATTGTTTCAGCTAATCGCATTTGGCTCTTTGTATTCTTAAGGCACCTTTCAATACATTTAGCTGCCAAGATGCGGAAAATGAATCCTGGGTATCCAGTCGAAGTGTATGGATTCGTATCTAATTTCGGGTACTATATCTCAGACCATCTTCCTCAAGTAAGGCTTGAAATTTGCAGTTTATGAGCATGTAAGTTCATGCAGAGCTAACATGTATTTCTTTTTTACGTGTGGTCGTAGTTTATTCGAACCTGTTTTGGAGTTCCAGTTCCAAACGCGTCTGATGCCGATTGGATCAAATGGGACTCAAAGCATACACTGTCCAATCGTCATCATGATGCTTATGTGGTAACGTCGCCTTTTTTGGTTTCGTTGTTCATTCGCGTTAACCTAGATTTCCTTCAACATAGATCTTTAGGATCCACGCCGGAGAAGCTGCAGTCGTAATCAAGGATCCTGAAGCCGTCATTCAAATCACTCAAAGGCGTATGGACTTTGTCAAGCCAATAGAGCTATATGATTCGGTTGCCTTCTTTGGGCACAATGTTGTTACGGCCGAAGGTAAGGATTCATCAGTGAAAATGTATCCTTGTCTCATCTTTATTCGTCTTTTCTAAAGCAATGTGCTTGTAGGCGATGAGTATGTGAAAGTTTTGTTACCACGGAAAAATTGACTTCTCGCGACAGATAATGTTTTATTTTGCTCGCTATTCAGATGGAAGAGACATCGCCGTATCACTGCCCCTCAATTCAGCACCAAGAACGACCGCCTCGTACACCAACAAACACTCCTGACCTGCAAAGAAATGTTCGAAACATGGAAACCTACCAATGGTTCTCCATCATCAACAATCGACGTCTCAAAAGACATGATGAAGCTAGCACTCGCCGTCATAACGTCTGCTGGATTCGGACTCAAAATCCCGTGGGAAGACGATGAACACCTACTCACACTTCCAAAGGGGCATACAATGTCATTCAAGACATCACTAGTATTGATTATCAAACATTTGATTGATATCATTGTATGGAACCCTGTGCTTGCTAGTATGATTATTCCTGGTGCGAAGGATGCTGTGAGGGCTACGGGAGAGTTTAGAGAGTATGTGAAAGAGTTGGTGAATGATGCGAGATTGAAGAAGGGACAGGAGAGTAATAGTGCGAATTTGTTGTCTTCGCTTGTGAATGCTACGGGGCTCGATGCTGAGGGGCTTGAGAAGCATGATGGTGGGGAGGTTAAGCCGTTGAGTGATTCTGAACTCATGTGAGTGTTGTAGTAGAGCCAGAATTCGTCCTTTTTTTGCTCAAGTGCGAGAAGATGTGGTTGCCCGTTCTAATCATTTTATAAACACAGGGGCAACATATTCGTGTTTCTTTTGGCTGGTCATGAAACAAGTAAGCAGGGCAAAAAGAATATTTGAGCTGAAGAGGTGGCATGTTGTTGACTTCCCTTTTGTGACAATCTCTTCTTAGCTGCCAATACTCTTCAATATGCCTTAGCATCTTTAGCTCTACATCCAGACATTCAAGAAAAGTTATACGAGCATTCTGTTAAAGTAGTCGGGAAGGGCAACGATCCTGAGTTTTCTCATTATCCCGAACTGACATTTGCCATGGTAAGAGTTGAATCTCACAAGGGGCCAAGACCGTTTGAAACTTCCTTTGCATTATTGAGAAAGTCGGTTTGACCTTTTTTTTACGCCCATACTTTATCTAGAATGTTATGGACGAGACACTGCGACTATACCCAAGTGTAGTCAACGTCCCTAAAAAAGTGTCACTGGACCGTGACCAGGTCCTCAAAACATCCAAAATAGACGTACTATTACCAGCTGGCACATACGTCGACCTAATGCCATGTATCGTGCAAAGAGATCCAAGGATATGGGGAGATGATGTCGATGAATTCAATCCAGAACGATTCTACACAGAACGTGCCAAGAAGGCTAAAGACTCTGGTGCTTTCTTGCCATTTTCTGAAGGTGTGTATTTACAGCTTAGGGTTTGAAACGGAAGCTTTACTAACAAGGCTGACTAATTACTCGCAGGTTGGAGAATGTGTCTCGGCAAACGATTCAGTCAAGTTGAGTTTGTGACTGCTATAACGGCAATTAGTTTGAATTGGAAGTGGAGCGTGAAGCACGGACAGAGCGCGGAGATACTGGTTTCGAATAACAAGGGGTTGACTTTGAGGCCAGAGCATCCTTTAAATTTGGTGTTTGAGCCGCGTCAGTGAGGTTAAAGTCACGGGATGTGAAAGGGGTCTGAATCTTGTACGATTTGTATGCCAGTGCTTGCCGAGTATTGATTTTTTTGGGCTTGCTGCCTTGCTGCTTCCTTGTTAGTTTTTATTGATGTTGAGGTGAATAATAAGTAAAGTTCAAAGTAAGCATTGAGAGTGAGAGTACTGTAAGTTTTTACGTGATGTGCATAGTCGTTTTGAGCAGTTGGGCTCCTTGCAAGCCAGGATAACCCTTTGCCTGCGTTGACGCAGATCCAAATCAGTCGGACGCGCTCAAACACGTACCCAGGCCTGTCAAGTCGCTTTGAAACGCACAAATTCGTGCATCCGAAAAAACTGTCACTTTTATACGTAGGTTGTTGAAGGTACAATATTACAGCTATGGATGCTATCCTAGCTATGCCACGCAGTGGCAGGGCTTTTCTATTCATACTTGTTTCTATTCATACTTGAGGTTTATCTCGCTGAACGCCGAATTCGTGCTTACAATCGAGGGAGGCGTTTGATCTTTGACTCACAAACGTCATCTGCATCAGTTCATTTCATTATAGTCACACTCTGAAACTTACTATGTTTTCATAGCCGCCAAGCTCCGTCAACTGAACCCCGGCTACCCAATCGAGGTGTATGGATTCGTGTCAAACTTTGGGTATCTGTTGTCGAATTATCTTCCTCGAGTATGTAGCTGTTTGGCATTGATCTTCGCTTCAAATGATGATACTGACAAATTCCAACTCATCTCCGTTCCTAGTTTGTCAAGCTATTCTGGGGAGTTGAAACTGCCAAACGTTCAGGTAAAGATTGGCTCAGGTGGGATTCAAGACATGTTTTGTTTCGTCGTCATGATTCTGATGTGGTAATATTGTTCATTGGCCTTCCTCTGTCTGTCTGTAGCTTAATTGTGGAAAGGCCAGAAAAAGCCTGGTTGTGAAACGTCTCAAAAAAGCCCTGAACGTGTGAATTGCTGTTTCTTCTGTCTTCTGGCCTTGGGGTTTTTGGATGGTTGTAAGGCAAGTAAGGGTCGGTGTCATCCCCAAAAGGACAACAAAGCTACACGATAAACACGTCTTAGTTCAAACCACTTCAATATACACCAGCATCATTGTCTCTACACGAAAACGCTACGAGTGCACCTTGGCCGTCGTTGGAAGGGACAGTGATTTCTCTCATATTGACCTAGGCCATGGTTAGCTCAAGCTGTTGAGTTTCTTCAAGTTGAAGTTATGGCCGGCGTAGCTGCTATTTGAATTGGAAGCGGAGTACAAAGTACAAAGAGATGTTGGTATCGCCTTGGAAGGCGTTGTGTGAGACCACTTCATCCTATCCGTTGATGGTGACACCACGTGATTGAGTAGAGAGTTAGGGAGCGGTGTGAAGTATGAGAAGGTCAGTGAATGCGTGGTTGGATCTGGGTGTGGGAAGTTTTGAGTATGAGGTTGTGTATTGTGTTGTATGTCTTGACTACTGCTTGCAAGTTTTGATAAAGTAGAATCAATAGAGGAAAGCCAGAGTTTGCCGAAGATTGTGGAATGTGGTATTATTTACGTTATCTTGATTGCAGCGAGAAGCTGGTTTGAAATGTTGTCTACTGTTGAGCAAAACACCGAGACAAGCAACCGGTTACCCGTCATCCGAGCCGAATTCAAGAATTTGACGAATTTGATTATATAACTGTGTCACTGGGCCTTCTCTCTTCTCTCCTTCTCGCATTTTTGCCAATTGTTCAAAACCTCAGAAAGAGCATCCCATACATCCATCGCATCCTCTTGATTGTTTGGTCTTAAAGAAATAGGAGAGTGTATATAAAATGTCGATAAATAGAGTGATAATCCTATTTGCGACGCGTTGTTCCATAATGAAATTGTCCGTTTGACACGTCCAGTGAGTGTGAGTGATTTTGATGTTTGAAGAAATTACCAATAGTTGCCGTCACAAACAAGATCTAAAGATACAGGAACGAAAACAGAGAGTTTGATAGCTGAAAGAGTAATCTCGTCCCGTATATAATATTATTATCATTCAAAATGGCAGAAACTATCCCTACCTTCAAATTAGTACTTGGTAAGTGGATGTCATTCCGCAGCAGAGTCTTGTTTTTGAATCGAATAAAAGCGGATATGTATATATGAATATGACAATTAATATCGCCCCTTTCTTATGTACTAGTGGGCGATGGTGGTACTGGAAAGACTACGTTCGTAAAGAGGCATTTGACTGGTGAATTTGAAAAGAAATATGTTGGTACGTATTCGACTCGATTAGCTTACAGGAAGTATGCAGATGATATGACCGTTATATATCTATGGGCCCATTGCTATCATTGGATCATTCTTGGATCCTGAGTCATATGGGTCTATGTATGATATTAGCTTCAGAATGCTGCACAGCAAAAACCGCAAAACATCAGGCAACATTCACAGCTGCCAGCGAGATCGATCTAAATATCTAGCTTGATTAAATATTTATTCATATTATCCTCGTTATCATAATAGCCACTCTCGGAGTAGAAGTCCATCCCCTTACCTTCTTCACAAACTTTGGAGCCATTTGTTTCAACACTTGGGATACAGCTGGCCAAGAAAAGTTTGGTGGTCTACGTGACGGCTATTAGTAAGTATCTTGAATCATACAATACTGATCGTCATGTGTGAATGAATCATCAGTCATCACGGATCGATGTATGAACCTTAACACTCTCCTACTAATGATTAGCATTCAAGGACAATGTGCAATCATTATGTTTGATGTGACATCCCGAATTACATACAAGAACGTACCAAACTGGCATCGTGATTTAGTCCGAGTTTGTGAAAATATCCCAATCGTGCTATGCGGAAACAAAGTAGATATCAAGGTATGCTTGTAGGGTGGGAATATACTAGGAACAGCATAATGGTTGAGGAACAGATGATATATGGGGTGGTGGAGGGAGCAAAGCAGCGCGATATGTGCTCAACTCATGTCATGACTTCATCGTTGGCTTACATATCATGAACCATTTCTATGTAGGAACGAAAAGTCAAGGCAAAAGCCATCACATTCCACAGAAAAAAGAATCTTCAATACTACGATATCAGTGCCAAGGTAAAACACAAAGAAGCCCCTGTAGAGCACTCAGAAAACATTGCTTCTCTCGCATTCTGCACCACTAAACGCAAAATTCTGTTTTCTAGTCCAACTACAACTTTGAGAAACCATTCTTATGGCTAGCACGAAAACTTGTCGGGTAAGTATTTGGACAATGATGTCGACAATAATGTGTCTTTAATGAGTTGCTCGTCTAGTGTTTTGTGTGTGTTGGCTCAATCGCATCATACTTACACAAACTTTTCCCTCAGCAATCCCAATCTGGACTTTGTCGCTGCACCAGCATTGGCTCCACCAGAAGTCACAGTTGATCCTGCCCTCATCGCCCAATACAACCAAGAACTACAAGATGCTGCAGCCCACCCTCTACCTGCCGAAGATGGTATGTTGTTGCTGTGTTGAAGCAATGTCTGCTGCTTTCCACATTTGCTTGTTTTGCTTAACGATTCGTCTCTGTTTAGACGACGACTTGTAAATGATGTCGATTTTTACAAGCCAGACCAAAAATCGGAATGGTTGTTAGTGGTGCAGATAACAAAAAAACCCCAAAAAAACAAAACACTAAACAAAAAGAGAGAAACGATGCAAGAAACTTTTGCTTATTTTTCGCTTGAGAAGATGCTTTCCCCTACAAGTAAATATAGATATTATACGAAGCTTAAACTCGCATGGGGTTGTCCTGGTCCTTTGTCCCTATTTTCTTTGTTGGTCCTCGCTCATGTGAATGGATGCAGTCCAAGACAGCTCGTTTGTGATGAGGCGATATGATGTTTTATATTTGGATTATGGTACATTTGCAAAATTATACGAGATGCTGCTTTCTAATCTATTTATAACAGAGCTGAATGCTTTGTTGGTGTACGCCAAAACAACCACCCAGTCATCAACACGTCTCGGACAACGTGAGATCTCTCACGCTGCTTTCGTATCTAACTTAGCAAGTCTCGATTGCTGTGACGCAGCTCTAGCCAGCAACAATACTGGTGTATACTCTCTCCTCCTACTATTACTAGCCACAGCAACATCCCTACCACCTTCTACCTCCTCCTCTTCCACACCACCACCACAACTCTCCGCACACTGCACCAAATACTCGACCATAGCACCTTTAATAACAACCTCTCTCCAAACCTCCTTGACAATACCCACATTAACATCCCTACTAACCCGACTGAACCGCCACGCAAACATGTCCTTTGGAAACTCGCACTCGGCTAGGACGAGTGGATGTTCTGGTGCCAAATCATACGTCGGGCGGCCCTCTGACTCGGACGGGGTGGATAGAAGGGTTGATATTATGGATGTTGGTTCGAGATGGGAGCCGATTAGGAAGAGGATTGCCATCATGCAGCGGACTTGGTGCCAGAGGAATGCGCGGCCTTTTACGTAGAAGATTAGGGGTTTGGTATCACTATTACTACTACTATTTTTGGCTGATGCAAGCGCATCAATTTCATCCACACTATAAATCCCGACATGGTCAATATACCTAATATGGGATACATGGCGTGATGGATCTACTTTACAAAAGTTCGTATAGTCGTGCACGCCGAGAAAGTCCTGGCATGCGGTCTTCATTGCTGCGATATCTAGATTCGGCGATGGGGTAAAGTAGTAGCGGTATGCACGGGCGAGACAGTTGTAGCGTGCTGAGAAGGTTGGGAGGACGGGAGACCATGCGAGGATGCGGATTGTGGGTGGGAGGAGTTTGTTGAGGAGGAGTGGGTAGTCTAGTTCGTGGATGTTTTCTATGGGTGGATTGCTCGGTGGTGCGATGCTGCTGTCTGTGGCGACATTTTCTTCAGCTTCTTCGTCCTTGCTAGCCCGATAAGACACCTTTGCAACGTCTTCCCACCTATACGTTCCCCCTTTTACGACATTGTCAATAATACCAGCTGGGTAAACACTCCTAACAAACAACCCCACAACCTGATCAAACGCTGACACGCCTTTATCCGTCCTCCCACATCGTGAATACCCGCATGCCGATCTGTCTGGAATGAGTTTAACTGTTGTGAGCGCATGGAACAGATGCGTTTCGATGGTTGTTACAGTATCGTTTTCTGAGCCTGCGAATCCGTGGTATTCGTGTCCGAGGTAGGCTAATTTGAGGGCGATGGGACGACATGATGTTTTTGTAAAGTCGTATTGTTTGGGTGGGCGTTTTGAGGGTTTAGTTTTTTGGTGTTGTGTGGTTGATGTAGTCGGGTTTGGGGTTGATGATGTTGGATGTTCTAGGTCGTGTAAGCGAGATATGAGCTGTTCTCGTGTCCAGCCATCGTATATGGAGGGAAAGGGAGTATTGATGCTCATTTTCCAGACTACTCATTAGAGAATGTGTGAGCTTAGTGATGTTGCTGAATGATAGCAAAAAACCACAAACAAAAAGCGTCATACCGTTCAGTCACGGATTCCACGTGAGTTCTTAGCTCTATATACAGTACTGATGAGCTATAGCCTTGTTTGATGACATGAAACGCGGATGCAGGTGTTTGGATCAATGCTAGGTTTTTGTGAAGATCGACACATGTTTTGACCTCGAGAAACAGACGTTGACGTGATTTTGGTAGATTACAACACTAAGCTGATCATATGATGAGATTATAAGACACGTTCTGATCTGACTACGTTGGCGTCGAACGTGACTGTCATTGTCAATGCAAAATATATGGAACTGACGTAGTGGTTTACAGCAAGGAAGGAGTTATAACGCGTCAAACTATATAGATCAGAGATATTAGAGTATATTAAGGCCAGATTTATCTCAAAATCTTACTGTTCATCATGTGGGAAGTCGCAGTGACCTCCGACAGTCACCTCCGACAGTCACTTCTCACATTCCAAACATATTTTGTCGTACGAGATTTATAAATCTAGGAAGAAGACTACATTCATTACATTACTAGCCCGTATAGATACATAGTCAGCAGCCCTCTCTCCTATAGTGAATGGAAGATACACCGACAAATAGTTATAAAAATGGAATCATCAACCCAACTCCATATACATTGATACGCAACTTCCAAGGCATAGAGACTACCGATAATGACGATGAAGATGATGAACAGAATACACTGGAGCTCACTTCGCCCACTGAACGTAGAAGAAAACACACTCCCGCCCCAAGCAGAAACAACATCAAGTCACTGGGATTCTTTACGAGCAAACGACGTCAAGCACAGCTGCCAACTCCTACTTCTCAGCTGACTACTCCATCTACAAATGTAAACCCGATAGTGAATGTAGATACTCCTTCTTGGTCACCTGTACAGTATCCTCAACTCACAAGTGCTACTGGTGGTAGTGTCGATGACGATGACGATTACGAGAATGGCGATCCATACGTAGACGAAACGCTGGATCAATCACAGGCATGTGGAATTACATGGGACTCGTGGGACGCAGATACCATACGACAACACTATAATAGGAATCCATACTCGAGCAGCAATAGTTTAGTCGGATCACCGCTCAACGACCCTGAAAACACTCGACCATCATCATCACTAGCATCGACATTAAGGACAACATCTCCAGCACCACGCATGAAACTCCCATTAAACGAACGCTCAGTCGATAGAATGCCGGAATATAAGAATCTAGTCGGGAAAGTCTGGGTTATAAACGACAGCAACTCTATCATGACGCAGCGAGTCAATGTCGAAGGATTTGTACCACCGTCGCGTAACAAGCCTGCTGATCAAGGTTTTTTTGTGGACGATAATGCTGAAGAGGAGGATTATATGCTGGACGATAGTACAACAACTGTTGGTTGGAATACCCGTAAACGGAGCAGACCAGCTGTAGGAAACCATGAAGAAGAAGTGGACGAAGATGTCGAAATGCAAAGTCCATTAAAGAAGAAACATGCTGGCAAGAATAATCTGTTTGGCAAGTCGTCAATGCTGTCTATGACGCCGGCACGCAAGTCATCGTCGATGACACCCAGAACAAGTGGTGGTGCTGGTATGGCTATGGATTTGACGTCACCATTGAAACCGAGAAGCGGTAGTGGCGTTGATCGTGATGGATTCAAGGTGCCAGCTGCTTTAGGGTACAGACGTGGTAGTCCTCGATGAATTGGTGGAACTATTACAGCAGCAAAGGAAGGCTGAAGGTGTTTTTACTCTCATAGTATTTTGGTACAGGTATCTCTCTCTTGAACTTGTAAATAAGTTGCACAGATGTTTTTCTCGCCCATATTGTCATATTGTTGAAATAAATGCTATCATATGTAAATCAATCGCGAACTTGGTCGTCAAAAGCGAAAAAAAATTGGTCGTGATTGCTGCGGGATACTACCAAGGTGGCTTTCAAGGGATAACTTGGACGGCAGCCGATGAGGAGAAACTGGTCTGGAACGAGCTGCTGGTCAAGAATAATCTAGACTGTAAGTGGAATTGTGGATCTCGTGTAAGCGGTTGGCATCATCAGCTTGATCTTTGGTCCTCAACATTTGCGACATGTATGGTTCAGCTTGACCATTATTCCTTGATAACAATGCATATTAAAATCTAAATGGGAACCTCGTATACCTCCATTTTAAAGTTTGGAACTGCCAATCCATTCGCAACATCAAGATCGTTCGACCAGAGATGTTGATTGAGCTCTGTTTCAAGGACGAGCACCTACGAGGAATTTCTCAACCGCTTTCAGCATGTAGATTACTGCCATAGTGGTTCGTTTTTGCTCTCGCATTTGCCACCACTAAACCGTCCTCTCGACGAAACACACCACAATACGATGATTTCAGAGAGAGGACTCTGTATTCAATTCGTGTCAGTTTACGAAACACGAAAAGCTTGAACGAAAGCAACACTGTTGAATTCAAAGTTATCCTTTTTTTTGAGCGAAAACTATTTCTTTCGAAATGTGATCTACAATGATATGCACATTTTTTTGCTTTGGAGACTGAATGGACGGTTTCGTGGCCCCTTTTAGAATTGTTTCGAGAGTATCGTGGGTAGAGAAACGCTATGGAGGAGCAAGTTACAAAAAATCGTGCTTCATACCTTTCATTTTCACGTTTCGCGGGACTGGATCTCTCTGTGAGACCAAAGTTCTTACGCCCCAAAGACTTCGGATCATCAAGACTTTGACGGGCAGCCTCCTTTACAGTTGATGCATCATGGAGTACAAGATCAAGAGACCTATTGGATTTTATCAAATGCGGATCTGTCACTGCAAAAACAAACTCTTATATCCTCTACCATGTTGAGTTGCTCTCTGTAGCAAGACTTGACTGGAACGATTGGGTTTCGTATGCCATCAATTACCAGCTTGGCTATATTTTCAAACTGGCTAAAAACAGAATGGGGGGTTCGCTCGTGTTTAATAGATCGAGAGTGTTAGTTCCTCGACTCGAGTGTAAGCAGAACATGTGTGCATAGGTCTTGGTGTTGTGGCAAAGTTCAAAGCTTCGGGAAAGTGGTTGCAAAATCTTACAGCATGCTTTGGAACTGGAGCTAATGTAGATAGATGGAGTGTGGATGGTGGTTGTTCTTTTTTGGGGTATGTATTGCTGCACAGTTGGTAGTTCGTTTTTTGATTTTGTTTGATGGGGTTGGAAACTGCAGTGAAGAGACGAAAGAAGAGTATCTAGCGGTGGATGCTGTACTTTCTGATATATCTACATTCTCCTCTTGTCTCATACTTGAAGTACTAGATACTAACTTCAACAATGTTTGTATAGGGCTCAAGTACTTACATTTATAGCACAAGGAGGTAGGGTGTGGGAGTTTGGTGAGCTGCGCCAATGTGGAAACAGCTTTTGGCGTATCATTTGGGGTTTGGGTGTATTTTCGGTTGGATTGAACGTCAGTTTGTGCCTTATTGGCTGCTTGCGGCCAGGTGACGAGCTTTTTCGGTGTCATAGGTACCGAACTAACATACTGCTTGCAAGAGGACAAGTTGGAATAAACTTGCTCTTGGAGAGCATCAGAAAAAGCACTGTCCTTTTGTCTTTTTTCGGTGGTTTTTCTGGTTTGGACTGAAACCAAGATGGCAAAATACGCTCTGAACGGGCAGGCTGGTAATTCAGGACACTATTGAGCTAACCAGTTGTATACACGATAAAAAACACTCCATTTTGGTTTGAGTCTTGTAAGCTAAGTACCAGAACTTCTGATACCTTCATGGGGATTTAATGTGGCCACAGCCGGTTCCAAACCCGGTTGAGATATACAAAGGAAATCCCCTTATTGTTTGACACTGGTTGCCGTTGTCTCCGTTAATTGTTGCGTCATGCTGACCCTCTTTGACACTAATGTCTGCCGATCTTCTCATAAATTTTGAAATTTTGAATAAAGCACATTCCTATAACATTCATCGTTTGACTTGTATACGCGTCGCGAGTTAAAAGCAGTGATCTCTCACAGTCGTCCTTCCAATGCCCAATGTCGTTCAGATATAACTTGGACGGAAGCAGACGGGAAGAAACAGATCAAGAACGTGCTGCCGATGAAGAAGAATCTAGAAGACGATCGAATCGTGGATCCCATGTAAGCTTCGCTGATCTTAAAGTTTGAACTTTTTGAAACCAGAAGCTGGAGCATTTCGATAAATCTATCGATCTATAACAAATCCCAATTCCTGTATTAGGGACCTCGAATAGCTCCGTTTTCAAGGCACGAAGCTGCATCCTTTGCTTCCAAAGTGCTGGTTTACTCACAGCATGAAACTCCTTGGACCAGAAATGTTGACAGAGCTTTGTTTCAAGGCATGCTGGCTTATTCAAAGACGGATTTTCCTCGTTTTCTACGTGATGAATTTATAAAAGCTCACTTCTGAACCCCTTTACGCTACGCTTAGGCACCACAGAACCACCTTTTCGACGACACTCACCACAATACGATGAATTCAAGGAATTCTACATCAAATACGTCAATCTACGAAACACGAAAACCTTGAATGAAATCACCGCTGCTGATACTGCAAGAAGGCCGATTGCTGCTTTTGCATTGGAGACCGAATGGATGCTCATGAAGACAGCCCTGCAGTTGTTTCAAGACTATAGTGTGAAAAAGCGGACTGCCTTAGAAGAAAAAGTTACAAAGGATCGTGCTGCTTTACCAGTTTATGCTTTTCGCGAGCAGGTAAAGCTAGGGTTTGTGATGTGACATCCATTAGCGAAAAACCAACAGCAAGACCTGAAGATTGAGGTTTTTCCCACTCAATACTGCTTATTGCCTTTTCGATAGATTGTTGAAGCAGTCAAAACCAACCGTGTCGTATTGATTGCTGCTGATACAGGTAGCTTTATTTTCGGAGACGTCCTGATTATTGCACACGATCTCATCACTTTTTATTCAAAGGTGCCGGCAAATCTACACAAGTCCCACAATACCTAATTCAAGCAGGCTGGGATCGTATAGCATGTACCCAACCTCGTCGAATAGCGTGTTATTCCCTTGCACGACGGGTCAGCTACGAGAGTTTCAACGTGTATGGATCTGAAATCGCATATCAAGTACGATTTGAAGGGACCAAGACTGCCAAAACAAAAATTCTGTTTTTGACTGAGGGGTTGCTTTTGAGGCAGGCTGCTGCGTAAGTTTTGGTGAATATTGGTTGCTTGTTTGCAACGACAGGTCCGCTCACGAGTCTGAGTCATCGCACCACCTTGCTCTTTAGAGATCCAATGCTAGCACAGTATTCGGTCATCATTGTGGATGAAGTCCATGAACGACATATTACATGTGATTTCTTTCTAGGCGTGCTGAAACGATTGTTGGTCATTAGACCTGATGTCAGGATTGTGTTGATGAGTGCTACAATCAATGCTCAATTGTTTTCAGAGTATTTTAATGCTCCTGTCATTGAGGTAATGTTTGGGTCCTTCCGAGGACGGCAAAAAAGGTCTGTGTATATTCCCAGACTTGACCTTTGTTTTGCCAAAATAGATTCCTGGTCGAATGTATCCAGTAGCGATACACTATTTGCCTAGTGAAAAAGAAGATCCAAACCTGGTTGATGAGAAGATAGCTGCTGAACGTCGAAAGTCGCGAGTCAAGCAATCCATCGCTTCCAAGGGTGGTAAAATCTCTGCAGGTATGGTCGAGCCATAAAACGTTTGGTAAATTAGTCTCCATGGCCAGAGCTCACATTTTCGTCTTTTCAGCACCATATCTTCAAATTATGGAACGCATCGATCAAACAATCCCAGAATCTGAACGTGGTGATTTACTCGTCTTTGTCTCTGGAATGCAAGAAATGACTACACTCTCAGATGAATTGAGAAATTATGCACAGCATACCAAGAAATGGATTGTTTTGATGTTACACTCTACATTGTCCGTTTCTGAGCAAGAAAAGGTATATTCTGCAAAAGCTGGCCTGTTTTGTAGCGTCTGCTCATGTTTGATTTGAAACTAGGTGTTTGATATTGCTCCTCCTGGTGTTCGTAAATGTATTCTTTCTACTAATATTGCCGAAACGTCTGGTAAGTGCGGCATTCAATCACACAGTTTTCAATTTAAACTCTTTTGTCCATAGTCACCATCGACGGCATTCGATTCATAGTTGACTCTGGTAAGAAATCTTCACGATCCTTTGCCCATGCTTCTATCTCAAAATATTACATGTGAATAGGCAAAGTCAAGGAGATGGGTCATGACGCAAGTGAACTATGCCTTGTTCTATCTAGCCTGGAAACTGTTGTAACATAACTTGCTTTAGGTCTCTACCGGTGTCTCTAAACTTGCAGAATACTGGATTTCGCGGTCGTCTGCCAAGCAGAGAGCTGGTCGTGCAGGTGAGATATCATTCAGACCCTTCTTATGATTTTTTTGTCCTCCTCCTCGAGTTGAATACGTCGCTCTCTTTAGGGCGTACCGGTCCAGGCGAATGCTATCGCTTCTATTCCAAAAACGAATATGATAAACTGAATGAGTTTCCTGTACCAGAAATTTCAAGAGCACCACTCGAATCGGTCATGTTGCAGATACGGGCTTACGGATTGGGAGATCCTCGTCGTTTTGATTTCATTGAGGTGTGTTGAGATGTGGGAGAATTTCTTGAGCTACATTCAATGCATTGTGACGTACCATGTTTTTTTCTCTCTAGCCACCACCTGAAGAACACATCACCTACGCTATAACTCGATTACAAAATCTGCAAGCTCTAGATGCTCAAGAGCAAATCACACCTTTGGGGCGTGTCCTGTCGATACTTCCTGTTGATGTTGTTTTGGGGAAGTTGATGATTCTTGGAACGGTGTGTTGAGACCGAAAAAAGGGAATGCGATGCTGGTGATTCAGTTGGGCCTGAAACTCTCTTTCTTAGATTTCTGACCTGATCAATCCAACACTTATACTGGCTGCTGGTTTGTCCATACCGTCACCTTTTATTCGCGTTGACGAAGGGAAGCTAGACATCATACGAGTATGTTTGTATTTAGTGCGAGTAGTTTTTCGTTGTTTAGACTTTTTCTTTCCGCTACTCAGAATCGAAACGAGCTAATGTCAGAGGATGGTGATCCATTTACATTGTTGAATCTGTTTTCAGAATGGTTGCAAGTGAAGTCACGAAAACAGGTGAATGTTGCCATATTGTAGCTGAGGCTATTTTGGCCGCTTACCCTTTTGATATTTGATTGAGTAGGAATCAACAAAACAATGGTGTATTCGTCGTGGTGTCGAAGAGCAACGATTATATGAAATGGTCAAACTCACCCAACAGTTTGAGCAAGTGTTGAAGGAGAATTTGACTGAAAGCAATGACGATGATGGTGAAGGGGAGGCACCAGTTTCAAAGGAGGAAGACGAAACTGGTAACGATACTGGAGAGAGCGTTTTGGGCAAGAGACGTCGAAAGGATGATGCTGATTGGAATGTAAGTTACTTCTGCTACCTCGACGTACTTGACGAAAATGACGTATGTTTGTTGTTTGGTCATTTTCCCAGGATCCTGCAGCAAGACTACGACGACGGCAAACAGCTATGTTGGAACGTCAGAAACGGGAACAAGGAGCTGGAAAACGTAAATTTTTGAAGCTGGAAACTGACGATGATGCTTCCCTAGATGTGGATGAAGCACCTAGAGGTAAGCCAAAACCTCAAAACAGAAGTTACTCTATTGTGACACATAGTGTCTGGTACTACGTTAGATATTGCTGAGGCTTCCATCAACGAACTTGAATTTGCTTTAAAGCACGATCCAAAGCATTTATTGGAAAAATCATCTGTTGCATCCTTGACGAATCGAGATATCTCGTTACTGAAATTGATACTGTGTTCCGGGTTGTATCCTCAAATGGGCATACGAGATGACGCCAATGCACAGAAACGGACCACTGAACATGTTTTCCATACCAAAGCTAAGAGGTATAATCGTACGTATTGTAAGTTGATTTTTTCTTTGACTTTATAACTTGATTCGATGTAGGTTCGTATTTATGCATCCTACGAGCGTCTTTGCAGTGCATCCAGAGTTTCTGCTTCCTAAAGAAGGTGGGACGAATTGGAATGGTGCAGCTACATTTTTTTCGCTGGAATCTAACGCCAAGTTGCATTAGCGGGTCCAAAAATGAGGACACCTATAGGATTTGATCAAATGCGTTCTGTCACTGCAGATACCAATGCCCCCGAACTTGTCTGTTATGTTGAGTTGCTTCAAACGACCAAACCATTTTTAACAAATGTGTTTCGTGTGCCATCAATGCCATCTTGTCTTCTCTTTGCTAGATCCAGTACGACACTACTCAATATTGGATTGATTAGTCGGAAGGATATGTCTTAACATTCTCCTCATCTAGTGGATTTATCATGGGACTTTCTACATATCGTTGTGGACGGATGGCTTCACTTGTCATTCCCCGACCGAGAAGTAGCTGAGAAATGTTTGATATTGTCTAATTGGTTACGAACAGCTTGGGATTTGCTCATATGGCGACAGTTGGAACGCGTACAATCCAAGTTGGGAATTGCTCCGCCTCCCAAGGATGATTCTAACGGTGCTGAAGTAACTATTGGTACTGTTGTAACAGATGTGCTTGAACGAGGGAGTCCAGATGAGGATGCTGGAGTCAAGGCCAGAAAGAAAAGATATGTAGAGTTGACTCATTTTGAGTTTGTACCTCATGCTGTTATGAGACTTCGAGAAGATTGGGTTAATGGATGGTTGAGACGTGGTGTTAATGATTTTGAGGAGTTGGAGTCCCAAGACGTCATGGGTATGTACCATTGAGTTTTCTTGACCTCTTTTCTTCTATTGATGCCAAAAAAGCTGACTATTGTGTTTTTTACAGACCGATTGGGTCAGTTTCTCGATATTGAATTCCTTGGAAGGGTAGAGAGACTGAGAGTCCAAGACCTGCATCTTTACGTATGTGCTGATGATTATTGCATAGTATTGGCAGTGGTTGACATCTCTCTTTCACCATAGTTTGGTTATGATCCTTACAAAAGTTACGACTCATCACGTGTCGAGGCAACTCCAAGTCTCAACTATTTCTTCGCACAACGGCCACCAGCCATGTCGTCGATACTAAGAAATCTACTCGAATTGCCAAATGAGCAGGACTTGGAGCCATCCACTATGCCGAAAGAAGTCAAACCACGTCCAGCTGTGGTTCCAGTCAAGTCGAAGGACGATGATATGATAGCTGTTGTCGAACCAAAAGCTGGTCGACAACGATTTGAATGTACAAACTGCAACAGCATTTTATTATTGACGCCGATAGAGATTCTTAGACATAAGCAATCGTGTAAGTAACATGGAGCCAACATTGTAGAAAGACAGAGAGCAAGTAATATATCATTTGCATGCTTATGAGTAAGTGTTTTTTTGGATTACTGGTGTTTGGATTCGATCTGAACGAGACAAGTCTGTGTGGTGGACGTCTGTTAAATTAAACTCAAAACTCGAGCACCACTTCACTAACCTCAAGCTGATTGGACGGCAAGTCCAGAACCTACCTTCTAGGTTAACCCTCAAGCTCGACGGGAAACTTGCTGGGGACATGTTTTTTATAGAAATGGTTAGACAGGTGCCGCAAAAGCACAATGACTAAGGTAGGTTCTGAATGCCCTCGATGAAGCCTCATGGTACATAGGGACCTTTGAAGACATGTCAACGAGGAAGTGACGGGAATGACGAAAACACAAATGTTACCCTGCATGCTCCAGGGACCATATCCAACGGGTATCTGAAGACTTCTAAACGAGCACTGTTGGCAGCGCCGGTTGAAACAGACGATTAAATGTTCCAGAGTCGAAATGAGGTTTACGAGTGGTTACTCTGGGACCCTCAATAAAACGAGTCCACGCTGCCCTACAGAAAATGTAGCGTTCCCTCGGAAGAGGCTAGAGGCAACGTAGTGTGCCCAAACTTGACGAATGAGAACCAAACTTGATCTAATAGGCTCTAACAGACCAAACCATTTCCTAAGCACCGATCAAAACGAAGCATACATTTTCCAACCGACCCGATCTTTATTTCATTGCTATTCTATATTAAACACTCTGAAGCTCGTTCGATGTCTACATTGGTTTACCAGGGCACGACAGTTCCATCATAGTTGTAGAATTTACCACTGTCAGCTTTAGTCAAGCCATCAACGACTTTTAATAGCGAAGTAGCAGAGACATCGGTGGTGATAGCGATTGGGAAGTCTTTGGCAGTGACTCCAATACTGGCAGCCATATCAGTCAGTACCAAGCCAGGCTAAAAACACAATGTAAAGTCAGACTTGAAACAGCACAAATGCAAATATGTCAGCTATCTCTTACATGAGAGGTAATAATAGTAACATCTGGGTTTACAGCGGCCAGTGTGGCAGACAACATATTCATTGCAGCTTTAGAAGTACGGTAGGCTGGTGATGCACCATAGCCGATTGTTTCGGTGGTAGCTTGGATAGAGCCCATGAGAGACGATATGTTTAATACTTTGGCGTTGGAGCTTTTTGATAAGAGTGGGAGGAGCGCGACTGTTACATAGTATGATGATAGGGCATTGGTGCTGAAGCCGTCCAAGAAGTCCTTTCGTGGTCTGGACGAAATGGATGTGATCAGGTTAGGAAACCGTTCTTGACAAACGGTATCAGGTTCGCGATCAAGGTCTTTGCAGAAAGCCAAACTTACACTTCAGCAAGGGTAGCCCGTGGAGTAGGCAGAATACCAGCATTGTTAATCAGCACATCCACACCGTTGGGGAAAGCAGCTGTGACTGATGACGTAAAGGCCTTGATCGAGTCGTCACTGTCGACATCCAGAGTAAAGATGTGAAGACGGCCGGGATAGTTCTTTGCCAGTTCAGCTAGTTCTGTAGCTTTTGCTGGCGTACGGACGCCTGCAACGACCTGGGATTTATCGTTTTGTAAAAGGGTGTATTTTACGAGAGCGAGACCGATTCCCTACGAGAAAGAACGGTAATTGTGAGTTGAGGAATTGATTGAAATGCAGTAAGAAATGCAATAAAAAATAAAAAAAACTCTACTCACTCGGCTGGCACCAGCGACAACTACGTTGTGAGACATGGTTTGATTAGTGATTTAAGAACGTGAGAAGGAGAGGTAGGTAGATTTGGGGTGTTAAGCTTGTTGCTATAGAGCTTGTTGTATTTTTTTGTTGAGATTGAGTGGAGGAGTTTGATTCTGTTTGCTTTTAACTTATAGTGGTGGATTATTCATCTTTTCTTCGTAAGCTGACAAACTTGACAAAAGCTGAGTTTGAAATTCTGATAAATCACAATCAGGCCAGCAACTGCAAAGCGTAGACGACTGCATTGTATCATTGCTTGAATATTCAGGGTTTGTAACAAGTTATCATTCGCTATATGATACTTATTGCTCTGGAAACAGGAGGCTTTTTTTCAAAGTGTGAGAAGCCGCAAACCGACATAATGGCGAGACTGTCGCACTGATTCTTGCTAGTGCGAGTGGCCACCGACACACGTGCACATAGAACGATCTCTATTATAAGATCCTAATCTTCGAGTTAATTTCACGTCTTCAAATTGCGGGGATTGTTTACTCCAAGTTTCTCGGAGCGTGACGCTACACACTACCCCACTACAACAACTATTGAGACGCGTTCCATTTATCACACGAATTGGGAGACACTACGCAATATTTCATAAAAGCAGCAGTTGAGTTTGAAGAATGTTGAAATTAGACAAACTCTTGATTGAAAGGTCAGACGTCAGGCAATGTGAGTAAGCCCATATTGTAAGCCAAAATAAGTATAGATATTTGAAACCAACCAACGTTTATTCAACACGTATGCAGTATAGAAACAGTTTAATGTGCATCCTCATTGTGAGGTTCTTGGTCTATATACAATATTGCCCTTTACCAAGGCAAAGTAGTTCCATCATAGCTAACGAATTTACCACTATCAGCTTTCGTTAAACCATCAATAACCTTCAATAGAGACGTAGCCGACACTTCAGTAGTAATAGAATTGGGAAAGCCCTCTTTGATTCCGGCACTTGCCGCCATATCAGTTAATACGACACCAGGCTATGAAGAGAAGTATTTCAGAGTCAGTCTTATCTTGCCAAGTATTTCAGCAATGGGACGCTTACATGAGACGTAACAATCGTGACATCCGGATTAACGGCAGCCAAGACAGCAGACAGCATATTCATAGCAGCTTTAGAAGCACGGTATGCTGGTGTAGCCCCGTAAGCGATTGTCTCGGCTGCAACCCCGATTGAGCCCAAGAGAGATGATACGTTCACCACTTTGCCGTTGTTGCTCTTTGATAACAGTGGGAGGAAAGCGACAGTTACGTAGTATGATGATAAGGCATTGGTGTTAAATCCGTCTAAAAAGTCCTTGCGAGTTCTAATCGGCGGATTTGATAGGAGTGAGTTCATAATTTCAAACATCGATGAAGACGCTCTGGGCAAGCAAACTTACACTTCAGCGAGAGTAGCTGTCGGAGCAGGCAGCACTCCAGCATTATTAATCAACACATCAACCCCATTTGGGAAAGCAGCTGTGACCGATGCAGTAAAGGCCTTGATGGAGTCGTCGCTGTCGACATCCAGGGTAAAAATATGCAGACGGCCGGCATAGTTCTTTGCTAATTCAGCTAGTTCTGTAGCTTTTGATGGCGTACGGACGCCTGCAGCGACGTGGGATTTATCGTTTTGTAACAGAGTGTACTTTACAAGAGCTAGACCAATTCCCTGTGAAACAGGAAGGTAATTGTGTGTGGTAAGTTGATCGAATTATACAGTACACACTAAGAAAATCGGAGAATAATCAAAGGACTCTACTTACTCTACTGGCACCAGCAACAACAACATTGTGAGACATGCTTTGACTTAAAACGTAAGAAAACGGCACGGTGTAGACGGTGTAGATTTGGTTGGGGTGTTTAGCTTATTATTACGGTCGTGTACCTTTGAGTGTCTTGTTGAGATTGAATGTAGCAGCTCGTCTCTGATTCCTGCCTTTTTATAGTCTTAATTATTCATCATCCCTTCTTTAGGCTGACAAAATGCTGGGTTTGAAATTCAATCGATCATCGATTTGCCATATTGCCTATCAGAGCTGAGGAACGACAAAGAACACGCCGCGGGACGCGTTTCTGCTTGAATATAACGCCTAATTCGAGCGGAAACGTATTGCTCAAGGCGTGTGTTCCGCAAACATTGGCCGCGTTGCCGCAAACAAAAATAACATGTGTCTTTTAGCACTAGAACACTGCAACTAGAACGTAACCATCCAGCACGTTTCCAATACAGTGATCTTCTTGATTTTCATCAAACTTTTATATCTAAACGGACGAGTTCATTTGAAACAGCGTACACAAGATTGCGAGTTCCGAGAATAGGTGCATGATAGTAAAGACTCGTGTGGCTAGCTCACTTGATGCCAATTCATTCTCAACCATTCTCCAACTCAGACGCCATACCGAAGGGCTTATCCTGCTTCTCATCAGCTTGGTATACTAATGGATTTGTTTGAAGTAACCACTAACCCGGAAAGTGGAAAATTTACAAGAGAAGACTACAAAGCGAACTGTGGACAAGAAAAAATTAACGAATCTACATTTTAATGGCAACTTTATTCAATTTCTATGCTATTCAAACACCATGCATGCTTGTTATTTATTCTAATAATCTTTACCAAGGCAGAGTAGTTCCATCATAGCTCAAGAATTTACCACTATCAGCCTTCGTCAATCCATTAATCACCTTCAACAGCGACGTAGCAGAGACTTCAGTAGTGATGGCGATCGGGAAGTCCTCGGCATTGACTCCAATACTGGCAGACATATCAGTTAATACCAAACCAGGCTAAACAAAGAAAATAAAGTCAGTTCTCAACTTTATCATTGCAAAAACCGTACAATATGAGGTTCTTACATGAGACGTAACAATCGTGACATCCGGGTGCACAGCAGCCAAGGTAGCAGACAACATGTTCATGGCAGCTTTTGAAGCACGGTATTCAGGATTTGGCCCATAACCAAGCGTGTCGTGAGTAGCACCGATAGAGCCCATGAGAGAAGATATGTTTAACACTTTAGCATTGCCGCTCTTTGATAGGAGGGGGAGGAGAGCGACGGTTACGTAGTATGACGATAGTGCGTTCGTATTGAAGTTGTCCAAGAAGTCTTTTCGTGGTCTAGTGACGCGGCAGTGGGTTAGAGCATGTTTTCAAAAGTTTTCAACTACGTTCACCCAACAAACAGAACTGTTTTACCAAGAAGACTTACACATCGGCAAGAGTAGCTTTCGGTGTAGGCAGAATACCAGCATTGTTAATCAGCACATCAACGCCATCGGGGAAAGCGGCTGTGATTGATGACGTGAAGGCCTTGATGGAGTCGTCACTGTCGACATCCAGAGTAAAGATATGCAGACGACCTGGATACTTCTTTGCCAACTCAGCTAGATCTGTAGCTTTTGATGGAGTACGGACGCCTGCAGCGACATGGGCTTTATCGTTCTGCAAGAGCGTGTATTTCACGAGAGCGAGACCAATTCCCTGCAAGAAAGATCAACAACTGTTAGCTGATTAATTAAATTCAATGCGCTCAGAAATGAGATAATTAATATATGAACTCTGCTTACTCGGGAAGCACCGGCAATAACGACGTTATGAGACATGATTTGTTTTTGTGGTGTGGTGAATGGAGTTAATATGTGTGATAGTTTTGATCTAGCTTGATTTTATGGAGCTGGTATGTCTTGTTGCGATGGAATGAGGAAATGGTCTTGAAATCGCCTTCCTTTTATAGTCTTGGATTTTTCAGCAGCTTTGTTCGACATGCTGACAAAAAGCTGAGTTTGAAATCCCAGACACTAGGCGTTGTCAATCAAGTTCAGGACCTGCAAAGAAGTATCTACGGCCATCCAGTATTGCTTACGAGATTGATGATTTGGGTCTGATCTCGATATGAGTCTTATTTCTCAACGTGTCTCCAACAACAAACTCAATTCAGGCGCCGCAGATCAAAATATATCCAACCCGGCGGTACGAAACCGTTGCGAGAGAATAGAGATTATAAAAGATATGTCAAAACGTTGTAATTGATGTGGATTAAACCTGTTCATGAACAAGCCCAAAGTCATTTTAGACACAGACGAACAATCACAGAGGAAACAGTGTTGGATTGACCTTTCATATGCTTCATAACTGCAGAACGTTACTGCTGGTGTCAAGTGAGGAAGTGTTAGAACAAGCGATACTTAAGTTGGACTTGTCTCGTAAAACCCGTATATGTGATCCCTAAAGTGAACAAAGCTGATCCTTGAACGGAATCAGCCCACTAACCATGATCTTAAAACAACGTGAGCATGCATATTTCAGCCCAACTAATCTTTATTCTACTGCCATGCAATATATAACATTTTGATGTTCCTGCTTTAGACTACAATTTTTTCTACCAAGGCAAAGCAGTTCCATCATAGCTCAAGAATTTACCGTTATCAGCCTTCGTCAACCCATCAATCACCTTCAACAGCGACGTAGCAGACACATCGGTAGTGATTGCGATTGGGTGGTCGTTGGCATTGATTCCGATACTGGCAGCCATATCCGTTAGTACGACACCAGGCTAAAAAGAAGTGAAATTAATGAGTATGGATGAGCTATCAAAACAAAGGAAGATCTTCTTACATGAGAAGTAACAATCGTCACGTCGGGGTTAACAGCAGCCAAAGTAGCCGACAGCATATTCATTGCAGCCTTAGAAACACGGTATGCTGGCATTGCCCCATAAGGAATTGTGTCCGGGACTAGGCCGATAGAGCCCACAATAGACGATATGTTTAGGACTCTAGCGTTGGTGCTCTTTGATAAGAGGGGGAGGAGAGCTACAGTTACGTAGTACGATGACAGGGCGTTCGTGTTGAAGGAGTCCAAGAAGTCCTTCCGTTGTCTGTTTGGTAGGTTTGAACGGGCGTGAGTTTATGATTTCACAGTTTGATGACGGCTTTTGGCAAGCAACTTTCTGACAGTAAACTTACTCATCAGCAAGAGTAGCCCGTGGGGTAGGCAGAATACCAGCATTGTTAATCAGTACATCTACACCGTTGGGGAAAGCAGATGTGACCGATGCAGCGAAGGCCTTGATGGAGTCGTCACTGTCGACATCCAAGGTGAAGATGTGAAGACGGCCTGGATAGTTCTTTGCCAATTCAGCTAGCTCCGTGGCTTTTGATGGAGTACGGACGCCTGCAGCGACATGGGCTTTATCGTTCTGCAAGAGAGTGTATTTCACGAGAGCGAGACCAATCCCCTACAAGAACGAGCGGTCATTGTTAGTTGATTAATTGATTGAAATGCAGTAAGAACTGCAATAAATACTAAATAAACTCTACTTACACGACTGGCACCAGCAACAACTACGTTATAAGACATGATAGTTCTTTATGTGTGTGAAGAGGTTGGCGGATAGCTTTGCGGATGAGTAGTAGCTGTTTCGATAACGGCTCTATCGGTTCTGTTGATATTGATTGTAGGAATTTGTTGGAGGTCGTCTTGGGTTTTATAGCCTTGGACCTGGGCCTTGGATTATTTATTCTTGCCGGTTTGCAAGCTGACAAACAAGCTGGGTTTGAAATCTGAGACATGAGACATTGTCAATCGAAGTTCAGGAACTGCAAAGAAGGATCCAGGCGCAAGCCGCAATTTGTAGGTATGACATTCAGCCCCTGGTCTTCAGTGCAAACTTATTTCTGAACGTGTGCTCAAATAAAAATCGGTTTAGACGCGCATGTGAAATACATCCAAACCTGTAATACGAAACCCTTGTGAGCGAATGCAGACTGTAAAATCATATCACGAAGCGATATAACTGACATGAATCAAACTTGTTTATACATAAGGACGAGATCTTTCAAAGACAGCAGAAAATTACAGAGAAAACAGTGTTCGGATGTAACAACAGGACTCATATAGTAAACTGATTGGGTCCCAGTATATATCCAACTGGTATCTAAATCATTTCGAAATAAGTTAAGTTCGAGAGTCATAAACGAAAAAAATACACTCCAGCTTAAAGTTATGTCAATGAAGCAAGCACTTACAGAGGTATCATTCATATCCTGTACCAGCGCATTCAGCGTAGCTCCATCAGCAGTATGTCTCCAATCCTGCCATTCTCCAGACTCGAACTTGAAATACTCGAAATGTGCCACCATTTTTAAATTGGGCATCCATAGGCGAGTTTCTTTCGACATGTATAGTTGCTTCCACCATCCTTGTTTACGTGGTATTCCTGCTGATGTGGAGCCGGGGTATGGTGGGTTGTTGGAGTCCCTAAAGGTGAAGATGGTTCAGTCTGGGACCAAAAACAATCTAAGTCCGATTCCCAACAATGGGCCTTACGTGTAACCACCCCAATGATATTCAGCAGCTCCTTCAGCAAGCGCATATGGCTTGCCTTGCTGAACAGCGAAATCGTAGATGTTGTAGAAGGACAAGTCGGAATTCTCTGTTCCGTTGCCTGTTGCAGTATCAACAAACTTGTAAACCCAGTCGGGTGCATCTATGATAACCAAAAAAGCTTAGCCTGTCGCTGCCTATGAGTACACTCGTTGTATGTGGGGCTTGCTCACCATTGGCGTCACTCCAATACTGGTTTCGCTTAAAGTAGAGCGAATTGCCAATCCAGTCTACATATTTGGCACCAGGCCAAAATGGAGTCCACGCTATACAAATCCAAATGCTGTCAGCCAAGTGCATCAAGCTGCGATTAATGTAACTTCGTGAACGAATCTTTTGTTAGGCTTACGATCTAAACATGGGGGGAATGGTTAGAACAAAAAAAATAATTCAATAAAGTCAATCGATAGTAACAGGACGTACTGTCTTTCGCATCAATGTTCCCATCCTTATTAGTATCCATCAGCTGCTTGTCATTATAACTCGACGGCCATCCGAAAGGAGAACTGTCTGGCCCAATAGTATTTGGGGCCCATACGAGAGCCGTACTCTGAAAACGAACGAAAAATGTATGAGAAAAGGCGATATCTTCCTTTTTTTGCAGAAACATCAAATGCTTTACCGTAGCACCATAAGTCTGCAAAGCAGTCCACAGCTTGATCCAAGACTGATTGAATGCAGTCGGCTGTTGGCCATACGACATCCAATTAGCATTGAATTCAGGCTGCCATCGCAACATGAGCGGCACTCCGCGCTTGTTGACGTCGGCACAAGTGTATCCAATGTCTAATATTTGTAGAAAAACACTACTTAGCACTGCAAAAAAGGTTGACGACACTAAATAAATGGTGCTCACCATTGTAGACAGCGTCCGAGATACCATATCCACCAGAAGATATTGTTATTCCCATCACAGCACCCAAACTTCTCACACCTCCCATGTAGTTGTATATCGTCCATTTCGCTCCTGAAAAATCACCATTAAGAGACCTAAAGAGTATCCGCAAAAGGAAAATCAGATTCAGACCCAAAAAAATGACTTTCCGGGGATTCCCGTTGATGCGATTTTCCACATACACGAAAAACCAAAACACAGTTGGTCCAAAGTTTTGCAGCGTCTTGCTAGCTCCTAGTTTCTTTGCCGCTGACTGGAAGGCCGCATTCCATTCATTAGGTTGTTGTTTGTACGGTTGTAAGTAATTCCTAACAAAATTGTTATCTATCGTCCATTCTGGATTATAATACAACAACACGCTGACAACTCACGATGAATAAGATATATGAACACCAAACAATATAGCACTGTTGGGCGGTTCGAGTACCACACGTTTACGAGACGGAGTGCGATAAGCACAAGCATCAAATCGGATCTTTGTGAATCTGAAGAAGTGTGGGTCGTATCCAGGATGTGTGGGACTGTATGCACCTGACTTTGGATTAAAGTAGAATTTTCCGAAATAAATGTATCGTATTCTTGTATAGTATTCTCCTCGTGAAATTGCAGTCTATCACGAATCAAGAATCGAGTCAGAGGACTGAAATTCAGACGGTAGTTCAAGGTAGTTCGTTCCTTTCTTGGCACGTTAACATCGAATGTGCAAAAACCAGTCACCAAGGAAACGTACTGGATCTGAGGTATTGCCACCTGCCAGCAGGTTGTGCAAATTGATTGTGATTGTCTGTTGTCGTCCGGTAGCAGGCACAAAGATTGGGTCTGTTCTGATTGTTGTTGCGACACTCGAGCAAGTCCCATCAAAAATATCGAAAGCGATACTAAAGTAGGACACGGGCGGCACAGTGACATCAATCAAAAGGAATGTGTAGTTCTAGGTCGTGTTAAGAGAGTGTGTCAATAAAAAAAAAATCTCTAACTCAAATCAAGGGACACTCACGGTAGCATCAAATCCACATTCCTCAATCCCAGGCATCGGAAATCCAAACAAGAATTCGACTTCTCCACCACCAGGTGTTCTAGGAGTGACATTCAACAACCCATTCTTCTTTTCAGGACTATAGCTCGACACTCCGTCGAAATGATAAGTGCCATTGTATAGCGTGGTTATGGTATTGTTTCCAGCGTGGACACCAGGCACACTCATGTCATCTAGCATGTAATAGAGCATTCCTGGCGAACCAGGACAATTCGCAGCCGTATCGTTGACGTCGTTCCCCGATGTATCTACGGGACCTGTGGAGACTGCATCGTATCCTTTACCTAGACAGTGGTACGGTTAGGACGTTGAGGTTGAATGGTACATGTTGGTCGAAAATGTGGTGTTTGATCCAAGGTTTGCAATGTTGGAATTAGACAAACCCAGCATGTGCGGGCCGATGGAGCAATAAGAAAATGTGGTTTGAATGTGGTTTACGTACTATTCCACCATGCACCGTTAGCAGGCGTTGGTTGACCAGCATGGACGAGAACATTTCCCAGAAAACAACAAAAGAGTAATATAAGCTGCCGTATTCTATAGTCCATTGTCGGTCTAACTAGACTTGAATACTGGATGCCGTCGACTATATATTGGCATGCAATGTCCCTAAGGTTCCTTGCTCTAGTTCGTCGACTCCTGGGGCTTGAAGGTTTGGACGCCGTTTAGAAAAGGGGACCTCGCGATTACGTAAGGCATTACCTACACATTCAACAGGCAACGGCATGTATCAAATAAGAAGAATCGAACAGTCAAGATAAGATTCCACAGATTCAGGATTCAACAACAGCTTCCAGTTCCAAGCGTGTCAAACGTGTAAAACGGAACTCTAGCTAGTTGCGACAAAATTACCAAAGATCAAAAATGTGAGTGTAAACGCGTGTAAATTTCAAAATCGTCAGTTGTTCCAGTCAAAAGAATCAGCTATTCAGATCGAATCTACTCGTGGAAGAACCTCTACACCCGCTCATCGACGAGTCCAACAGCAGCCAAGTCAAGAAACACGCAAAACAGGCAAGTTCGAGAGGATCAGTTTGATCATTTGGACAAACTACAATCTATGGCTACACGCGAATAACTACTTTACGTAATATGGCTCACGAGACGCGTCGAAGACTGAGTGCCATTCGCTGCAAAGATAGCTACACAACCAAATGTGATTCTCACAGATTAAGAACCCCTGGAGTCCCGTGATTGTCTTTCGGCTTCAAAACTCATCATTGTTCTCGCCGGCTCATTGGCTGGTGTTGCTGCTGCTTAAGCCTGCTCAACAACACTTGACGGCTTCAGTATATACATTAGTCGATGCATAACATCCTAGCCAAGTTACAGTCGATATGATAGCACGTCGTGCATCTGATGTAAGTGGACCTTGTGTCCTAGTGGTGTCAGTTGAAGTGGCGGTTTCTTCAATCATCTGATAACGTTTGACATAACATTTGAGCTAACATTTGACATCAACAAAAACATAGTTTTCAGAGCATGATTTTTATCTCGAAATACTGAAATACTCAATCCGTGATGTCTTTGATCCTCGCCACCATTGTCAAGTTGTCATCCCTATTCCGGATCAGTTCGACAACGTCAAAGAATACCGACCAGCATTTCTACCTGGCTTGAGATCAGAGGCAAGTAAACATTGTGTCTTCAATATCATTGGAGGATGTTCATTCTGTCATTTCAATGATCAAGACGATGGTCGTGTGTCGTGTCTGACGACGAAAGATTGATTTGGAGGGAGCTGCAGTGGGATTTGATTCCTCAGCAAGCTCCAAATGTCAAAATACTACAGTTGCGAAGCATATGGGTTGACTCGCTCAGTAAATGATCCTCCGAAACTGATTGCATCTATTTGTCACGCTTCGAAATCGCGGGCCTCCGTCACAACCTTGTTAATGTTTACTTCCCAAAGGTCAAAGATGCTCTTGCTCAAGCCATTCGCCAAAACCTCGAGCTTCAGCCTGAAAGCTGGAAGCTTCTTGCTTATTTTCATCGTCAGAAAGACGATGGATCCAGCATCATCAAAATCAAGGTTCCTGCCGAGCAGCTGGTATGATACTGTTCAGTTATTAGATGTCAACCCGATATTCATTAACTTGACGTTTAGTATACTCGTGACGTGATTCTCTTCTGTGCTTCTCGTCTTCAGTCTCTGGAGGACGTGTTTTCCCGTGAATGTTTCTTTGGCATAGTACAATCAGTTCGGGATGTGAAAGACGATGACAGCCCTGAACACCGCGAAGAGGCCAAGATACTAGTAGTATTACCAGATGAAATGGCCCAAGAAACGAAAGACTCAAGTCGCAGGAAGGAAGAAATGGAGCCTACACTTTTGTATAGCAGACTGCTATCAAACTTGACCCCATCAGTCAGAATTTTATCTGGTGAGCAAGGGAATGCTTCTCTCTTGGACATCCGAATGCTCACACTTCTCCTGGCTTCATGATGTTCCCCTTTTGTACAACCGGATACTCACGTCGCTACTGTCTCTTTCATAGGAATTCTCTCAAAAGTCAAATCACCCATCATTCCAGAAATGATTCGAGCTTGTACTGAACCTCAAATCGAGATTGATCAAGGCACGATCAACATGGTCTGTAGTCATGTTGAGAAAATCGAAAGGCTAGACGACTCGCAAATTCGTGCTATGACGGCTGCATTGCAAAAATACGAAACTGGCACTCTCTCCCCTCTTTTGATTCACGGTCCAGGCAAGCACTTTAATGAATTGAATGAAACAATTGAAGGTTTGTGTTGATGTCTTTTTCTAGCTGGAACAGGAAAAACCAAGACTCTCTCACATCTACTTGGTATCTTGGGCATGCTGAGATATCGCACTATCCAGACTGCCCCCACAAACGCTGCAATCGCAGAAATTGGACGAAGGCTCATCAAGCTCATATCAGAAACACCGTCACTCAAGATGAGATTGGGTGATATTGTGCTGGTAGGAAGTGATGATGCAATGAGTGCAGATATGTTTTCCTTGTCTCTCAATCACAGAGTAGATGTAAGTTACTCTGGAGCGTCACGGCATGCAAATACTCACGATAATTCTTACACTAGCGATTGACCACAGCTGCCGCGAAGTATATTCAATATCAAAGATATTTGGAATATTTACTCCTGCAGTTTCCACTAGCTTACCACGATTATAAAAAAGTCGAAAATAGCACCCGTCCTCTATTGTCGGCCTCTGTATTTTTCTCGACATCCATCCATTCAACCATTGCCGAAATCATTCGCCAATTGGAAATATTCGAGGTTGACTTGCCTACATCTTGCGGTATAGATAAGGACTTGACTGCGAATGTGATGACTTTGCTGAAAGCAATGCAATCGGATGTGCCCACGACTTTAAACATTAAGATATCTGATGCAACTCTCCTTGACTTCGATTTGTCTGATCTCCGAGTATTTGGTATTCGCGAGCCCGCTGCTATTATGCAGACTTTAAGTCTCCTGTCTGGCATTATCCCTCCATCTTTAGCCAACAACTTGATGGATAAGGAATTCACCGCTCAACTGCTTGTTGAGCATGCTGTGATAGGCCTGTCCACCATAAACTCATCAGCCAAGAAGGTTTTCAGGCCACTAGTTCTCAAAGCCAAGATAATCATTGTGGACGAAGGTCAGTATTCCAACCGACAAACGCAACTGACAATCTAACCGTTGATAAAAACTTCTCTCCCTTTAGCTTCTCAGGCTGTCGAGGCAGAGACATTGCTTCTTTTGCATGCAGAACTGAAACTTCTAGTTCTTGTTGGTGATCATAAACAGCTCGCACCAACCGTGATTTCACAACTCGCAGTTGAAAACAGCTGGAGTCGAAGCCTTTTCGAACGGCTGCTGGCCAACAACTTCCCGTCGTTAATGCTCCAGACTCAATATCGCATGCATAAAGATGTATCACTATTTCCTAGGAATCAGTTTTATCATGGGCGTCTACTGGACTCGAAGTCGGTGCCTTCAGGATATTCCGCTATCTGGCATACGAATATCTACCCTGCCTACGCGTTCATCCATACGAAAGGTCGAGAGACGACGACGGCTAGTAGCAGCAAATCCAATGTCATTGAGGCAGAACTGATATGTCAGTTGCTGGCTCGATTGTTGGACTCCTTGGAACGTCGTCCAAGGTTCAGGCTCTCGATCGGTGTAATATCAGGTTATAATGGTCAAGTTACAACGATAGCAGAAGGTATCCAGAATCTGGCCTCTATCAGAAAATCCGTCGTAACGTATCATAAAGCACCAAATAACGAATCAAGATTGAAAACCAAAGTGCCGCCAACTCCAACAATGATTATTGATGGTCTGACCAGTATTGATGTGAGATCTGTCGATGGCTTCCAAGGTCAGGAACGCGATATTATCATATTCTCGGCTACCAGAAGCAATCAGCATGGACAGATTGGCTTTCTTTCTGATCCAAGACGATTGAACGTAGCACTGACGAGAGCCAAGTCGTCATGTTGGGTAGTAGGAGATGGTTACACTCTACATAGGTCATCTGGTAGTGAACTTTGGAAGTCTTTGATTCAGGATGCCAAAAGCCGTGGAGTATACTTTGAAGAGCAACCTGTAGCAACCAATCAATCGGTAATGGCAAAAAAATTGAAAGAAATAGTTGGTGAAGAGACGGGTTGGCAATATTGTCAATCGCAACGAACAGCCGCACCTCTTCCAAACGAGTTAAATATTATGTTCGAAAATGCTCGTTGGAAGATTCTTGTGTCACGAGCAGCTCTCGATGCACTACGAGGTGTAAGCGAGGGCTTACGAAAATCTCTTCTGTCGGTGGCCTCACAGCTAGCAAGCGGCTTTAAGAAAACCAGCTTTTCTTCCAAGGATGTTGGACAGTACAAAAAGTTGCTGAGATGGGTGGACTGGCAATCCTATAAGATCGTTTGGAGTGTCGGGTTAGACTCGACTGACTACAAACAATGTATACGAATCTGGAACATCTGCTCTAGTCAAGACTCTGATGCTTCTTTACGAAACATTGAGAAAATCTTGCTGTCGCACTCGCCAGAATATCTTGAGAAATGGTAAATTCGACGTCGGTTTGAGACCAGGAAGGGCCTATGCTGACTTATCCTTGCATTCTGGTAGCTGTCGTGTTGGCTACATTACCGACCCTTCTGGAAAGAAGGGGACAGCTCCACTGACATTTCCACGCACTCCACCCATCCCGTGGTATGCAACCAAGGCTACCAGCAACGTCTCTATGCCACTGGAAGCACAAAGCGAAGACCAACAAAAGGGCATGGATTTGGTCAAATCCTACGAATTATCAGCATCGGCTGCCACTTTATTATATAATAACATGATCTCAGATGTGGAATTGCCATTTGAGGTGTCTGCAGAAGAACGCCGATTGATTGATGCCAGTACAAGTTGCTTTATCCTGGGTCGAAGTGGAACTGGCAAGGTGATTTCGTGGCTGTTTTTGTTTTACCTCTTGTACGTACCAGATCCTGACTGCCTTTTAGACAACCATAATGATCAGCAGGATTTATAATCGACAAATGGCTTTTCTTCGTGCAGTAAAGCAATTGGAGGCTGACGATGTTACAGATGCACGACCTGCGTCTCCTAAACAGATTCTTGTCACCCACTCTGCGAAATTAGCTGACGCTATCAAAACCCATGTGAAGAAGCTGATGGAAGGATCTAAAGTTGAGATTACCCTCTCCACTTCGTCTGAAAGCATTCAAGAGCCATCTCCGGATGTTTTATTTGAAGTAAAAGAGGCTCAGTACCCAGTCATTTGTACCCTTCATAAGCTCTTGGAAATGATCGATGCTTGTGGTGGGAAAGGATTCTTGTCCGAATACAGCATTCGACCAGATGACGGGTTGGCGGCAGAGGTCGAAGATCTGGAACTTGCCGAAGACGTCGATGATGGTATAGAAGTAGAAGATTATGATGAAGATGATTTGATGAACGATAGTGCTTCAGGTCGTCAACGCAATCAAGAAGTGACATTCAAAAAGGTTAGAGTGTTCCTTTTGCAAAACATCCTGCTTTTGTGTGCCCATTTGTGTGCCTCGACTGACTAAAACTACTGTCAAATAGTTTCAATACTTCTATATACCAAGAATGACGGAACAGACGGTCAAAAAGTTTGGTGCTGATGCAATTTGGTCTGAGATTGTGTCAGTGATCAAGGGCTCGTCCGCTGCTTTATTTGGAGGACATATTTCTTTGCAAGGATACAAGGAGAGGTCGCAGAGTCGACGCTCGACATTATCTGAAACCGACCGTGAAGAAATCTTTAAAGCTTTCGAAAAGTATGAGTCCCTAAAGGCAAGAAAGAGAGAATGGGATTTGGGAGATTTCACCGCACATGTGTGGCAGAAGTTGCAAAACGGTCTCAAGTGTGATTTGATGTCCAATGTCTACATTGACGAAGTTCAAGGTAGAAGATACTTGATCGTTCAGTCAAACGTTCGTCCTTCTTATTATTTTCCTTTCCTCTTAGATTTGACTCAGGCCCAAATCTTGCTCTTCTCAAGGCTCAGTCGAGATATGAATGCCTTTATCTTTGCTGGTGATACTGCACAGACGATATCCTCAGGAGTGCAATTCAGATTTGAAGACGTCAGGAGTTTATTCTTTGAAGAATTCATTCCTTTTATTCGACCTGATTTGTCTACCAAAGGAGCCATCGCATCTCTGGTTCCTCCGTTAGAGAATCTCACTCAAAACTTCAGATCCTGTAATGGTGTCTTACGTTTAGCCAACAGCTGCGTAGACATGATTACCAAGTTCTTTCCAGATTCAATCGATAAGTTGCAGTCAGAATGTGGCTTTCAGGATGGGTCCTTGCCGGTTTTCCTGTTAGGTACGTCTTTTATTGTTTGTATCGCTTTTCTTTGTCTTATATACCTTTTCTAGACACTACGACGAGTGGGCTTTTGCTTCAATTATTTGGAAGTGACCGCCTTGGAGAATTTGGGTCAGAGCAGGCTATTCTAGTCCGCACAGAAGAAGATCGTGAGAGGGTACAGAATATCATAAAGGAGCAGGCTGTAATCCTCACTGTTTCGGAATGTAAAGGACTGGAGTTTGAAGATGTACTGGTGTATGGTAAGCATAAGGTGATTTCTACTAAGTGATGTCATCAAATTCAAATTTCGTTTTCTTTTAGATTTCTTTGCCTCTTCGTCATATTCTCGTTGGTACGTGATCACCAAAGATGACCAAGAGTCTCATCGTAAATTTGATGAACATCGAGAGGCAGCTCTCAACCAGGAATTGAAGGCATTATATGTCGCAATTACCAGATGCAAAAGCCGACTTTGGTTTTTCGACTCAAACCGCAGTGCAAGAGCTCCTATGCTTGATGTTTGGTCGAGCAGTGAGATCATCTGTCAGATCGATACCATTGAAGACGGCAATGAGGCCGCTCAAGGAATATCTGGTCTTGCAAAGAAGTGAGTTTTTGCTTCACAGTCTAGCTCGTATACTCCATCGCTCAAACTCCAAGAACTTCTTCGTCTCGCGCTCGTACTCAACAGCTCTCAATATTTATAGATCAACGCCCGAGAGCTGGTTTAACAGAGGCCAGGAATTATTCTCACGAGAATTGTATGGCCAAGCTCTTGGCTGTTTTGAGAAAGCGGAAGCCGTCGACAATGCAACCCACTGTCGCGCTCTCATTCATAAAGACCTTGGAATGAAGCACCACGGAATGGGGATGAAATCCGCGGCAATCAAAGAATTCACCCTTGCCTCAAATCATTTTGCAGCCATTGCCATGTTTTCCGAACAGGCAGAAGTACTAGTTCTCGCAGAAAAATTTGCGTTGGCTGTCGATGCTTACATCGCTGCCAACGAACATTCGAATGCTATAAAGTATTGTGTCAAGGCACGAGACGTGCCATTAGCAAAGAAGCTTATAGCCCTCAAATTTATGGCAGAAACAGACTTGAATGTATTTTGTCGCCAGTATGCGTAAGTCCCCTTTTTCCCGTTTTCCGCAAAAAATGGCATGCTGACATCCCCTTCGTTTTCGTAGCTTGATCTGTCACTCCAAGAAAGACGAGCTTGAAGTCAAGGCGTTTTTATTACTTGCTACGTCGCAAGGAATGAAACGTAAATTTGTTGAAAGATATGGTTATTTGGATATGATGGTTGAGCTGGAAGAGGCTGCTGGTGACTTCGAATATCTGGCGAATGTGGGGTCGTCTTTGATTCAATCAATTCACAGAAACGTCACTGACTGACTTATATAGGCATTTTTGGGTCAACATCATTTCATCAGAGCCGCAAGTTACTTCGACAAGGCTGGAAACGTACCCAAATTCCTAGAAACTGTCACCAATATGGCCGCCGTCTACTCAGCGCAACGTTTGTTTTCTCCAAAAAACTCACGTGAACATAAGCAGTTGTCTACATTGGTTGCATCGGCATTGTCGAAACTCGAATTCTCTTCAGCCCAAAAGATCCAATTGGATCTCTACTCGATGCTTTATCCACAATCCTCGGTACCCTCTCTTCACACTCTAGGAATGTCTGTGCCCTGTCTTCTCACTTTATGGAGGAGCCTAGTAGGTCAAAAGAACCCTCTGGAAATGTTGGTTGCGTGGACCTTGGTCAAAAGCATTGCTGATGCTCCTACCAAGACTTTATCAACCCTCCTAAATGTTGAGGTCGCAGTCGAAGTCCTTAATGCATTTAAGAGTATTACTGAACACTCAGTACACAGCTTAAATGAAGCCGCATCATTGAGAACCGCCAACCCTTTAGTAGAAGACTGGTTTGGAAAAAGTGAAGGGGAATTGGTGTTGTGTGATAAAAGTTGGTCTTGGGCTTTGCAAGCAATCCTTTTCAATAAAGGAAAGTATGCTGGCACTTCGTATGTGGATGTATCTGTCCTGTGCCGAGAGCTTCGACGATGTTTGTTGGAAAGCAGGAACATCCTGGTCAAAAAAGTCATCACCGTTACGTTCTCCCACTTGATGTCGTCGTATACCAAGTTCGACTGTTACCATCTGATGGTCGTAGATAAGGTGGGCGTGGAACACTATTTCATTTATGAAAAAGTCTTGGTTTACACATTTCGTTTTGTTTACTAGGTTTCACATCGTTGTGCAGTCGCTGGTTGTCCTTACATTCATGATGTGGCCGAAGCTAAAAGCCTTACCAAGGAAAGAATCATTATGGCCATTACCTTGTTTGACTTGCTCGAGTATAGTCACATTGATGATGACGCTCTGTATGGCCAAGTTTTCCAATTCTTCCTCAAGCGTAAGATTATTTTTCGTGTTTTTAATCGCAAATGATGTCTCACCCTTCTTCTTTCCTCAGAAATTCTTCCTCTATCTGGAGTAACGACGGACTATATTGCTCTAGACGAGATGAGAAGAGGCAAGAAAGGGCGTAATCTCGTACAAGCTAATTATTTCTCATACTTGAACACTTTATCGTAGACCCTCGAGTCAAGTATATTATCCAAACCTACCAAAAAGACGCACTCACGAAAATGAGTACCTCGTCAACCTCCTCCATAATTGCAAGTACACTTCGCCTCGTCTCTGCAGGCTCTGTCGCCAGGTGCGATGTGGAGACCGAGATGCCACCTAGGCTGGCGGGAACGAGTCGAGCCAAAGCTGTGTACGAGACCTTAAAGTCCGAACTCCACCCTAAGCAAAGTGACAAAAGTATTCCAGGTCACTTATTGTTTAAGGCAATTTCAAATCTTCACCGGTTCGCTAGTCTCCCTTGGGATTCTGATGCCGATGCTCACCCACAGTAATGCCGGGTTTCTCGTTTCTGGCAAATCCATGGTCCAACTCTAAATTTTTGAACGATAGGCAATTGATCAATCTGATGGAGAAGTATGTGACATTCTCTTTGATTCTGCACAGAAAATTTGTAGATGTATTGATCCCAGATCGATACGTCTACGAGTTTTTGGTGATGCAAAATGCACCTCTGGCTGACGCATTGCGAATGCATGGAAGGAGTCAGGATCCAGAGACTTTCTTCCATCTGAAATATGTTGTTGGTTATGTGATTGATTTATTGTCGAATGATGCATCCCT